TGCATATTTGCCCAAAAGAAAATCACCCCCCAAAATGTGGACACATAAAGACAAGTGAACAAGGTCTTATTTTATGTACAGTATTTGGAGAAGGAAAGGAAATAACACTTGAGTGATTGGCTTAGCATTTGAATGAGTTTATTTTGTGAGTAGGTTTATGTGGGTTTTTTTTTAAGTCCTCTAAATTAACCCAATGATTCAGGGACTATGATCATTCTCACTTAAACAAGGCAACTGAGAAGTTGAGACACTTGCCTCAGGTTGCACAGCTGGTCAGGCGGATGCAGGTCTACCGGACCTGAAAGTTCCAATCCTCTCCCACTCTGCCTCTCCAAAGCAAAAAGGTGAAATTCGGCTGTTTTTCAGGAGGGTGGCGATATCTTCTTTCTTAGGTATCAAATACCTAGCTTCTCAGTGACACATCTGTTGGACTAGCCAAGCAGCAAAAGAGCCAATGTTAATAGGAGTAAAGTGGACTTATCATTCTGAGGAAACAGAGAATGTGCTCCCCCTTTCAAATCCAGCATAAGCATTGCACGACCAAAGAGGGCACAGACAAATGTCTGCCAGACCACAGCTCAGAGTATAGAGCATGCAACTGATTGTTCAGCTGGAGTCTGGGGATGAAAATCTCCTATGGAAAGTCGGGGCAAGTGCAAGAGCCATGAAACATAGTTGTTAAGCGCTCAGGCTCTGGAGTCATAGACTTGAGCTTGTAGCCTTCCAGTCCACTTATTAAGAGACTTGGCCTTTCTGAACGTCAAGGTCCTCACTTGCAATATGGGGCAATGGTACTTTGCAAGATCATAGGTCAAATGGGCGCTGGCCTGTTGAGTGCCTGAAGTATAAGATGTGCTCAAAAATGTGAATCGTCCTTCATTTTGGTTTTGTTCCCTGCCTCTCTCTTTGAAACTCACAGTCCAAAATTCTATTTTATATAATATATCAGCATAAAAAGAAAGGGGATATAAAAGCTGCGTGTACAAGCTTGCCTTTGTGCAAATATGTAGACACTAGCATCTTGTTGGGTTGTGTTTGACACATATCAGGTGTCCAGGCGGAAGCTTTGGAATATGAAGACAGTGTAGCTTTGAACATGGCCAAGAAAAGAGACAAAGGCCAAGTGAGGATGGAATGACAAGTAAGAATGAGAGCAGGTTTTACTTGGTGTCTCTCTTTTCCTGATGGCTCTTGTGTGGTTTCCTTGGAAAGTTTACCCTGGCATTTTTCAGAAATAGCACAGTTGTTTGGGATGATTACAGGCAATCACCATTTCTCAGAGATGGAACTGTGTTTAGCTCATTGACCGGCTACTCCCCAGTCCCCAGCTGGGGGGATGCACAGCTGGACTCTTGTTTACCACGTATCAGATCTTGTGAACTTTGAAGACAACCCACCTCAGGGAACTCATTTAAGAAAAAGAGTGAGTTTTGATGGTGGAACATGAAATCCTTTCCAACAGAAGAACAAACCCAATAGCCAGCTCACCTGACAGGCTGTTAACACAGTGTCTCTTAAAACCCATGTTTGAAGTCAATGAATATTAAGAGATTAAGAGAGATAATCTGAGGTTAGAGGAGAAGCCCTCCTTGGATATCTTGAAGCCACACCATCCAATAATGGAGCCATAGCGATGTGTGGCCGCTGAGCACTTGAAATGTGGTGGGTCCAAATTGAGATATCTTCTACAATACACGATTTCAAGGACTTAGTACAAAAAATAATGTATCTCATTAATTTTTTATGTTGATTACATGTTGAAATAATACTTTAGATATAATAGGGTAAACAAATATATTCTTAAAATTAATTTTATTGTTTCTTTTTCATTCCTTGTAGTGTGGCTACTAGAAATCTTTAAGTTACATATATGGTTCCCATTCTGCTATTCTTGGACAGCATGGCTTTAGAACATCACACAGAATCTTTATCCCTACTCACAACTCTGGTTAATACTTACCTCCATTTTGTACCCTGATTATGATGATCCTAGGCTATTAACAACTAATACATATCCAGAACTTCGCTACCTTAGGGCTTTGCTCTTGCTGTGAACTCAGTGTAGGGTGCTTACCCACCCCCACACCCCCAGACATCATCTCTGGTGCCTTTTCAACTCCCTGATCTTTGCTCATAGGCCCTCTCCCCAGACAGGCCTGCCCTATCCACAAGTTGGTCACATCAACCTGTTCTATTCTCTTTATGGCACTTGTTTATATTGTCTGCCCTCTCAACAAGACTGTGAGCTCCGCGAGAAGATCTACCATGTTCATCTCTCTATTTCTTGCTCTCAGAACAGCACTTAGCTTATAGCTGGCCCCCAGTAAATAGTTCCTGAAGAGTTAAATGCATTAGCCTTAAATCTGACTGAGATTGTTTAAACTGTGTTTCAGCATAGTGCCCTTCATTCGTATCATTCTGACTGAGCACCTGTTGTAGCCTGTCACTATGCCTTAAGAATATGGTGATAGATGTCCTGGTCTCACTCTCAGGGAGGGCAGGACTTAGTGGCTTCCAAGGATAAACATGTCTTGCAAACAGAGTTGTCCTATTACTGCCATGAGCCTTTTGTTGCATTTTACTATGTATACTACTAAGGAAATAATGCAACAGAGGTCAAAAAACAAGATAACCTCAAAGTGCAGACTCCCTGTTTACCCACAGTGGCAGAAGGTTGCTGAAAGGCGGCTCCCTTGTGCTCTTCTATTTTTAAAAAACAGATTAACCATCCTAAAGAACTATGATTATGGGCAGAACCAAGCCATGTATTTCTAGCTGTGGAAGGCTCCAAATGAGAAGATATTTTGAGCTCAAAGGATACATGTTTTCAGAGGTTTTTAAGGGAAAACTGGCCTTTTAATACATCCTTAGATTACAAAAGCAAGCTGTAGACAACTGTGTGGAGCAGATGATTGTTTTTGTTTGTATATATCCTATAAATGTGTGTGGGAAGGACAAATGCATTCCAAATGGTTAACCTTGGCTACCTCAAGGTTGTGGAGAAGGGTGGAATGACACTATAAATATTTTCTTAACATACTTCCATGTTATTTGTTACAATGAACATGGATAATTTCTGTACTTTCAAAAATGAATAAAGTAGTTTTTAGAAAGAAAACTTAAAAAGAAACACCGCAAAGCATCCCTGTATTTGATAGGGATACTTTTCACATCTTGACCTTTTTCATCTCAGTTCTGGCCCCAGCAAAGACCAGCAACCAGGCTGGGTTTAAAAAAAAAATAGGAAGTACAAACTGAGCTCACTTCTGGAGAATTTTATGATGTCATGGCTCTCTTACCATAGTTAGGACTTCGTTAACCTCTTTAACTGGGAGAGTACTCTTTATTGAGAGCACCTGTTATAAGCCAAGTAATTTGTTTACATATGTCCATTCTCTAATCTTTCAAAGGTAGGCATTAAATATATCCTCACTTAGTGGATATAAAAATTAAAGTTCAGGGAGGTGAGATGAGTTGCCCAAAGTCACAGAGCTAGTTAGAGGTTGAGCCAACTTTGCAGAGAACTACAAAAAAAAACCTAGAAAACAAGTAAGAAGATGGCAATAAGTACACACCTATCAGTAATTACTTAAATGTAAATGGTCTAAATGCGCCAATCAAAAGACATAGGGGGACAAAATAAAAAAAAAGCAAGACTCATCTATATGTTGCCTGCAAAAGACTCACTGCAGACCCAAAGATGTATACAGACTGAAAGTGAAGGGAGGAGAGAAGGTATTCTATGCAAATGGACACACACACACACACACACACACACACACACACACACACACACCCCTAAATCCAGAGTAGCAATACTTGTATCAGTCAAAATGAGACTTTAAAACAAAAATGGTAACAAAAGACAAAGAAGGACACTACATAATGATAAAGGGACCAATACAATGAGAGGATATAACAATTGTAAATATCTATGCAACCAACACTGGAGCACCTAAATACATAAAGCAGATAGTAATAGACATAAAGGGAGAGATTGATAGTAATACAATAATAGTAGGTGACTTGAATACCCCACTTGTTTCAGTGGATAGATCATCCGGACAGAAAATCAATAAGGAAACAGAAACCAACTTTGAACCTAGTCCTTTTCAACCTTTTTTCCAATTCACTACCATTTGCTACCTCTTTCTAAAAGATAAGGTGTAATGCAGTGTTTTGCAGCTGGTTCCATAGCTGAATTAAACTCTATTATCAATGAAAGTGTAATTGTAGGCACTTGTGAAAGGCTTCTGCTCCACAAAAGCTTTTCCCTAACTAGCCCTGGAGCCTGATAGTTAACAGTAGAATCTATCCCATTGGGTGACATCCCCTGGGATCCACTCTCCAAGTACAAGGACCCTTAGAATTGAGTAACATGTAACATCATTATAAATCATAACCGTCATGTGACTGTAATGTAAATTAATTACCAAGGAAATAAACCTAGCAAATGTCCAAGGAAATGAGACATGAAGCCAGTAAGATGATGGGGGTGTAAAGAGGAGATAGTTATAGAGCAGAGTCAGGAATGTCCTACAGGTATGTCACTGTGGGACTGTTGATAAATATAAGGGACCTAGAGAAACCAGATGCAGAAAAGAAAGGTGCCATTAAAGGTATATATCACCATCCAGGCCAGGCAATGGATTGGCACAAAACAGAGAGAATGGGCACATGTAGTCGGTTTCCATACTGCATTCCCCACCCTAGCTACAATGCTGCTATTTGTCAGAAGGTCACTGAGATATAAGAAACCAAGGCTCAATGAGTAAAAATCAGTCACCCCATCAGGAGACAATTCACAGGGCATGTTGTCCCAGGAATCTGCTCAGAACGTCTCTCTGAGGCACAGAGGGCCAAGAAGTAGCTTCTGGATATATGGGGGGTTAGTTTACAAAGCTAATGGATCTTATCTAGTAGTGGATTTCTATAAACAACCTGGACAAAAATACTGTCTGCTCTCTTCTTTAAGTAGAATATGCTTTTTTTCCCCACAGAAAAAGCGTACATTGAAGGGCTCCATTGAACTGTCCCGAATCAAATGTGTTGAGATTGTGAAAAGTGACATTAGTATCCCATGCCACTATAAATATCCATTTCAGGTAAGTCCACTACACCTGAGGGAACTAGTTCCCCATTTCTTGGACAATGGTTGAAATCCTCAGTCATTTTATTAGAAGGTGGGACAGGGAGACTCTGATCTATAGTTAGATCTACTAAGCCCACAACAAAGCTGCTGTGTTCTTTCATTCATTCATTCATTCATTCATTCATTCATTCTATTCAACAAAGCATAGGGGTGCCTGGGCAGCTCAGTAGTCATTGGGTGTCTGCCTTCAGCTCAGGTCATGGTCCCAGGGTTCTGGGATCAAGCCCCGCATTGGGCTCCCTGCTCAGCAGGAGGCCTGCTTCTCCCTCTCCCACTCCCCCAGCTTATGTTCCCTCTCTCGCTGTGTCTCTCTCTGTCAAATAAATAAATAAATCTTTAAAAAAAAGAGCATAAAATCTTGAAAAAGTTTTCATTCCTCATTTCCCTTACTCTCATGTCTTTCCTACCTCAACAAAAATCCCAATTCTCTGCTCCTAGAGGAAGGGAAAAAAAACTATCAATGGCCCCAAAGCTAATATTCTTTAAGTACAATTTACTCATGTTTTGAGGCAACAGATTGTAGTACTTGATTACAAATTGTTTGAAAGTTCTGGGACAAAAAGTCTCAAATTTTATAATCTCAGAACTAGCTAGAGTTGTGTTATCCAACACAGTAGCCACTAGCCACATGTGGATGTTTAATATTTAAATTAAACAATATTAAAAATTTCTCAGTCACACTAAGCCACACTGAATGAATGAACATTTCACATGTTCAATAGCTGTGTGTTGAACAGAACAGATTATAAAACATTTCCACCATTGCAGAAAGTCCTACTGGACAGAGCTGGTGGAGGTTATCATTTGTCTTTAGGTCATGACATTGTCCAATTCTTGTCCTCACTCTTGGCATCTATGACTCTGACGCAGCGGATATCTCCTTGTACATTCTAGGGTACAGTTCCTGTTTGGCAATTTGAGAGGTAAATATTCCGTTTTTAATGTGACACAGAAAAGGACTCTTTTCTTACTAGAAAGTTGACCTCCATGAGTTGAAATTTTTAGTAATGCAAGTAAAATGAATAACATGTATTTTCCTATCATTAAAATTCCAATTAAAAATGAGTACATTAGGGGACACTGGGTGGCTCAGTTGGTTAAATGTCTGCCTTTGGCTCAGGTCATGATCTCGGGGTCCTAGGATAGAGCCCCACGTTGGGCTCCCTGCTCGGTGGGGAGTCTGCTTGTCCCTCTCCCTCTGCCCACCCCCGCCCCCGCTCATGCTCACTTTCTTGTGTGCTCTCTCTCTCAAATAAATAAATAAAATCTTAAAAAAAAATGAGTACATTAAAGGGGAACCTGGGTGGCTCAGTTGGTTAAGCATTTGACTCTTGATCTCGGCTCAGGTCTCGATCTCAGGGTTGTAAGTACAAGCCCTGCACTGGGCTCCACACTGGGCATGGAGCCTACTTAAAAACAAACAAAAACACAAAAAACAAAAAACAAACAAAAAAACAGAGTACATGAAAAAAAACTGGTGAAATTCAAAGAAGATCTGTACTTTAGTTAGTAGTGTTGGACCAATGCCAATTTCCTGGTTTTGAAACTATACTATGGTTATGTGATAAGATGTTATCATTAAGGAGAGGTGGGTGAAAAGAACACAGGAACTCTGTACTATTTATGGAACCACTGGGGTGTCTTATATTATTTCAAAATAAGTTTTTAAAATCTCGATTATACATTTTTCATCTAATTTTTTTACTCTTTCATATGCCAGAAAGATTTTTTTAATCACTTAAAAGTTAATAAGAGAAATAAATATGCTATCACATGGAGAGGTTTTTGTCCCACTGTTTTAATTTAGCAATGACTTACTAGTAACATGGATTCTCAGACAAATAGTCTGAGCTGTGGAGATACACCCTGTGTCTGCACAGCATTCAAATATCTGGATAAAAAGGACACTGATCTCCTAATCACCCAGATGTTTGCCTTTAATTAATAAACACCTGAGGCCCCACTCTTGGCTCCCTACGCTAGATGGGCCTGCTCTGGGTGCACGGCTCACCCTGGACTCTGTGTATATCTCCAGGTTGTGCATGACAACTACCTCCTGTATGTGTTTGCTCCAGACCGTGAGAGCCGGCAGCGCTGGGTTCTGGCCCTTAAAGAAGGTAACTACTCTCCTTGCCAATGGCTCCCTGAAATTCCTTGATCCTCTAGCAGGCTTGGGGTCCACAGTAAGATAAAGGGCAGTGGGTGGACAAATACTTCTTGCTTTTGGTGGTCATGTTGGATTCCAGCTTTTCACCCTGGGCCCAAGGGGCAACAATCAGTACAGTGTAAGGTCAGCCAAATCCAGCCTACCACCTGTTTTCATAAGGCTCTGAGCTAAGGATTGTCTTTGTATTTTTAAATGGTCCCATTTTAAAGGATTGGAGAAGTACCTCCATAACATATTGATTTTGCCTGCTGGTGAGCAAAACCTAAAATATTTATTATCTGGCCCTTTCAGAAAAAGTTTGCCCACTCCTGGTCTAGTGTGAAGAATAAGAGGATGGGTCCTCGAGTTGGATGACCTGAGTTTGAATCCCGGCTCTGCTACTTACTAGCCGTGTGTGTGTGGGCAACGTCCTCAGCTGCTCTGTGCTTCAGTTTCCCCATCTATAAAAAAGGAAAGAAGGAGGGAATGATAATAATAGTACCTGCCTCCAGAACTGCTGCAAGGAAAGCCCTTGGAACTAGCCTGGCCCAGAGTCGTCACCCAATAAATGTTAGCTAGCTTTAAAGGTTTTCAGATCAGCAGGAAGGGTATTTCTTAGGCTTGCCTCCCTGACAGCATCATTAGAAGCAGCACAGTGTTTGGGTATACGTGAGAGGTGCAGCCAGGCTCCTAAGGTGAAAATCCCAGCTCTGCCAATTATTAGTCTGTGACCTGGGACAAGTTCCTCGACCTTCCAGGGTCTCCCATCTCCTCAGCTATAAATTCTGACTAATAACAATCAGTCACACGGTTATTGTGAGAATTAAACGTGTTAAGACATGTCAGACACTTAGAACCATACCCAAAGAAAGCACTCAATCGGTGGTACTGTTATTTTGCCCAAAGCCTTACAGGAGAACTGGGTTCAGATATTAATCTGTCTCTAAGTAGCTGTAAGGACGAAGAGTAAGCAAACCATTTAGAATCTTGGGAGCCATGATGCCTTTATCTGAAAAATGGGAATAAAAATACAGTTCTTATTTTCTTCCAAGGTCGTTGTCTCAAATGGGGTATGAAAGGGCCAATGCTGGGTAAGCTGGAAAATGCTCTCAACTCATGGAGCTCGGTATAAACATTAAAGTAAAAAGTTATCAAAGGGACTCCAACTGTGTCCATTGGCTATTCTCCCTCCGTGTAGGGCTTTACTCACAGGATGTTAGAGCTGGAAGGAACATTTGAGATGGCTTATCTAGATCTCCCCTTCTTATACTTCTTTTCTTCAGCAGGAGAATCTTTTTTTTTTTTATTCTACCAAAATCTCACTTTAAAGCCACAAATCTAGAACGGATAAAAGCAAAATTCCTGTGGTTGAAGGTGGGAGAGATGAAGGGCCAGAATCCCTCCCACTCAGTCTTACCAGTGCCCCTTGGGGGCTTTTGTGGGGCCCACTGATCCAGTCTAGGATCGGAGGGGGCGTTGAGGCTCAGATGAGGGTGTTGTCCAACCTAGGGACATACAATTAATGCAAGGCCAGACAAGAACCCAGATCTGGTAATGCCTAAATCCAACATGTACTATTCACTCAAGCTTACGCGGGGTCCAATCTCAGGGAATTGTGAAGTTGGTAGCCCTTGATAGACTGACCTGAAAATAACTCTTCTACTGGTGCCAATCTCTTTCAGAAACAAGGAATAATAACAGTTTGGTGCCCATGTATCATCCTAATTTCTGGATGGACGGGAGATGGAGGTGCTGTGCTCAGCTGGAGAAGCTTGCAGTGGGCTGTGCCCAGTACGATCCAACAAAGAATGGTAAGAGACTGGGAATTCCCCTTTCTTCTTTGCAAAATGACCTCTCTGATCGTGAGAAGTAAAAGCTCACATCTTACCATCATCAGGGGTGTCAGGGATTGAATACAAAATTTTGCATTTTTAGAACTTTCGGAAGGAAATCATCTGCCTCTACCACTTGCCTGTTGATGTTTTTCATCTCAAACCTTATGCCTTTGTAGCTCCTTTTGCTACTAAAAGTGTCATCCTTGGGCCTGTACTGTCAATGTCACCTGCGAGCTAGTTAGAAATATAAATTCTCTGGCCATATCCCAGGTCTGCTGCCCTATCAAAATTTGCATTTTAACAAATTTCCTGGAGATTTGTGTGCATGGTAAAGTTTGGGAAGCACGGCCATAACCTTCAAGTTAAAAAATGTAAATGGCATGGTCGCCTTAAGTCTTAAGTTGTAGAGACAGACTTAGAGGTCCATAACATCATTTATTTATTACAGTGGTGTCACATCACACATATATTTAATTCCACTAGCTCAACTTTATCCTCTTGGAGGGGAAGAAAGCAAAACCAAAAACTGTTTCTTTACTCTGTGGCTTCTCTCTGCCTCCCCTTCAAACTCGCTGTCAATCTCTATAATCTCAGAGAAAAGGAGGTCATAGCCTAAATGCAAAATGAAAACAAAAGACAGTGTTTCTGGTCCTTGGAGGGCAAAGGCCCCAGAATGAGGGATTGGGGTGCGACCCACTTTTCCCTTCTGTGATTGCTCTGGGACCTGAACCTTCAATGAAGTGCAACTTCACTTGCATGCACTTTTACACATGGTGAGTTCCCATTCCCCACAGTCATTTGGGGGAGATGGTGTGAGGTCACAGAAGCAGGAGACCTTGAGCAGTTGGGTATGCTCAAGGTCACACAGTGAGGAAGTGCTCTACAAAGCCATTGTTGAATAGGAATGATGGATCCTGTGAATTGTTTTGCTTCCATTCCCCTCTCCTCTCAACCTCTCTTACCCTAGCCAGATTTTCTCATCTGTCAGTTTCTTTTTTGCACTAAAACCGAATACCTCACATTGACAACCCAAGACAGATGTGCTAAATGTAACACATGGCTGGGTTTTCCGTGGCTTCCTGAGTCACAGCCCCTCTTAGTACCACTTTAAAAACTACCACTTCTCACCCTCCACCTTGGGAGAGAAAGTTTAAGGTTAACAGTCCCCTGGCCCAGAAGAACAATATAAACCTGGTTTTAGAAGCGAAAGATCTTCTGCATTACCCTATGGACCAAATTCACAAAGGCTAGTATTTCATAAAAAAGAAACAGAAGGTTTTATGTGGGTGAAATTCACCATATTAACAAGATGACATGGGCTTTCACTGGTGCATGAAAGCCCTTTCCAAAGCTAGAGGTCTGCTCTCCAAATTCCTGCCAGCACCTTTGTTATGGGCCCTTGGACCAGTCACTTGGCCATCAAGGGCCCTAATGTCTTCATCAATCCAATGTTAGGGGAACTTTTAGGGGTCCTATGATGAAACAATCTCCAAGCCCCTTTCCAGTTCTAGAATTCCTTGAGTCTGTGTTTCCATTTGGCAGTTTCCACCATGCATGTTGCAGCTGACCCTCTTCAGGGTGCATAGTACTTCCCTCCACTGAGTGCTAGCACATGACTGAGGGTGATGAGCACCTGAATGACTCACCATCATGACACTTGGACATGACTGCTCATGCTGAACTGCTCACCCCATGAACCCAGGGCCTAACTACTATAGTCAGTCTCTTAGTGATCCTACATTCATGTTTGCAACAATGGGCTTGTGGAAAGCTCTTAGCACATCTGCTGGCATTTACTGAGCTCTCAACAAAGGGTAATTATGCCCACTAGTCTTTCTTATTTGTGGACAGAGGAATCTGAAGCTGAGATACAGCGGTGTCTGTGTGTATGTCTGGAAAGCAGCAGAGGTGGTTGGGTAAAAATGGACCCTGCTCTACCCAACCCACAGCGACACTCATTTCTGCAGCCAGAACTGGCTCTGATGTCATACAAACCAACTGCACCCACAGGGAGAAGAAAGGAGGGAAGAGCAAGGTTAGAGGAAAAGAGATAGACGTCGCAGAATGTTCAGGGTTGGAAGGGGCCCAAGGCCACCCAGCTCATTCCCAATGGAGCTGAGGAGAGAATGCCAGTCTCCTGGTACTCTGAGTTCAGTGCTGAATAGGATCCATGCTTGCAGTTATGTTTGTTTACTTCTTCTCTGTTAATCACAAACCCAAGTCAATACCCCACCCTGCCCTGGCTTAAGGAGTTAGCACACAGGCTGCGTTCCCATGTCACTGTGTTGGTCTCCTCCTACCGCCTTCCTGAGAGATGCTGTCCTGGTCAGGAAGGGATCAACCCCATATGTGAGTCAATCTCATGCAAAGATGAGGAGCTCACAACCCACTTATGGAGCCTATTCCCATATTATCTCTAATTATTAAATCATTCTTTGAACTGAACAGAAGCCCATGTGCTGTCTCCCATGCCACACCTACTCCCAGATGTTCCACTTTGGTCTATTGATTCCAGGAATGACCTTTTCAGGGCCTCAGAGGAGAAATGCCGAGAGACAGAGGAAGAGACAAAAGGAGGGAGAGAAAGAAGAGAGCGGGAAAGAAGGTATAGAGGTGAGGTGAAGAGAGGGAGCTGTGGAGACACAAACAGATCAACAGAGAGAGAGAGAGAGAGGTGTAGTTTGGACGAGGTAGCTGGAACACATGCTCAGAAGCATTAAGGTAACTAAAAGTAGCTTCCAGCCCTCCCAAAAAATAACACAATGACCCCTCACCTCACCCACCTCCTCCCCAAGCCCACGGCTACCTCAGGAAGCTGAGTCACTGTTACCCTGAGTCACCAGTTCCCTCTCTGGGGTTTGGCAGGTGGTAGGTATGTTTGTGGAGGTCTCCCGGCCCACAGGGAAGGACACAAGCTTAATGCCTCTGAAGCAACTTTTGGTTTAGGCTTTAACTGGGAATACGGAATATTGACGTCTAGAAGTTTCTCGTATCTTCTAGAAAATAAAGTGGGGAACCTACAGGCTAAAAGAGATAAAACATGGGCTCTACAAGGCTGATTTTCATTTCTCTGTGTCTCATCAGCTTCTTCTGGCCCTTTTCTTCTGTTGTTCACCTAAGGGCCCCTTTTCTCTGAAAAGCCCCCTGGCTGCTCGCCTCCAGTTGGGCACATTCGGTTTCATGCTCATTTTCTTTTTCTGTTTTTCTCATTTCAGCTTCAAAGAAGCCTCTTCCTCCTACTCCTGAAGACAACAGGGTAAGTGAGGGCTCAAGCTCTGGGCACAGTGGACACCCATCACTGCAGCTGCCTGACTGGCATGTCTCCTTTGCACTTTCCCCATCTGCCCAGATTTTTCAGATCCTGGGCAAATGCAGCAGGTTATAGTAATTCAGTTGAAATGAACACACCGGGTCTCTTGGACCTGACCTGTCTGTCTCATGGGTCTGTTTACATAAAAGGACCATTCAGCTGCTAAGTCCTCAGTTTACTTTATTCATTCAACAAAAACTTATTGATAACAAACTGTGTATCCAGCCACCTGACCACTTTGGGGTATAATGACAGCTATCTATATAAAATAGTGTATTGTGGCACCTGGTTGGCTCAGACGGTTAAGCGTTTGCCTTCAGCTCAGGTTATAATCTCAGAAGCACTGTACAACAATGAAGCATCAGTACAACAATGGGACAAGCCTGGGACAAGTCGGGCTCCCTGCTCAGTGGGGAATCTGCTTGTCCCTCTCCCTCTGCCTACTCATGTTCTCTCTCTCTTTTTTTCAAATGAATAAAATCTTTTTAAAAAATGAAATAAAATTGTATATTTACTCCACCCCTTACTTTTGATATTTTGTAGTTTTCAAAGTACTTCCACACTTTTACTATTTCAAAGATATACATATATATACATCTTTATATATTAAATATATATACACATATATATGAATGTACCTCCTTTCCTCATTGTCTCTTCTAGCCACTTCAGAGGGTTATAGTTTTATTCACATTTTAAAGCTTGGGAAATCAAGTCCCAAGAGAGATTTTAAGTCTTTTCCAAGGCCATTCAACAATTTAGTAGTTAAGCTAGTAGGCAGCAGAGCTTCTGGAGTGGTGCTCTTTAACTCAAGTGGTGGTTCTCAAAGTGTGGTCCCTGGACGAGCAGTATCAGCATCACCTGGGAGCTGGTTAGAAATGCAATGTAAATTCTCAGGCCCCACCCCAGACCTACTGCATTCATAACTCTGGAAGAGGGTCTCAGCAATCTGCATTTTAATAAACCTCTAGGTGATTCTGGAGCACACTGAAGTAGGTAGAAAGACTGATCTAATCTACTGACTTATAAGATTTAGGTGATACCAAGCCATCTCTGGGGAAGTCAACTCTGGCTTGCAGATGGTTTCCCCCATAGGCCCAACTATATAGGGTAGAGTTTGGATCTAGGCTCAGAGTATTATTATACATTATTATTATAAGCAGGTTTCTCACCACATGAATGTCTAATAGGACGTTCAAAAGTTGTACAGGATGTGGGATACTGCTGAGATTTTTTGCATTCTTGGCCCTCTCCCATTAAATGCTAGCAGCACACCTAAACCTTTGTGACATTCAAAACATCCCCATAGATGTCCAAGATGCTCCCTATGGAAAGCTACCACCATGGTTTGAGAACCTTGCTCTTAACTTTCTTCTCATAGGGATTGATCAGTTAGTTGGGCCTATAATGGGATGAATACCATGATGTCATAGCCCTCCTTAATCTTCAGGTGCCCTTGAATATCACTCCTTCCTCCATTAGCTCTTGGGGTGAAAGCCTCAGTCCCACTGACTCTTATCTGCAGTACTCCAATACACCATCTCAGCTCCACCGATATCTAGACCTCAAATCCTAATCTGGGCTCAGCTGGGATGACATACTACATCAGTACGACAAGCTTTTCTTTCTAGATTTCCAGGATTTTTATACCACCAAATGCTTCAATGTGCTCATAGAAACTTTGGCTTCTCAGGGCACCTGGGTGGCTAAGTCGTTAAGCGTCTGCCTTTGGCTCAGGTCATGGTCCCAGGGTCCTGGGTTCGAACCCCACATCAGGCTCCCTGTTCAGCGGGAAGCCGGCTTCTCCCTCTCCCACTCACCCTGCTTATATGTTCCCTCTCTCACTGTGTCTCCCTCTGTCAAATAAATAAAATCTTTAAAAAAAAAAAAAAAGAAAAAGAAAAAGAAAGAAACTGGCTTCTCAACACCAAATCTCATCTCCACCAGTGATCTCAATCTCTTCCATATTTACTATCTCACAAAATCTGCCAAACTGTCGCAAGTGTGCCCTTCCTGAAATCCCACAATTGTTTGCTTTATCATCTCTTCTTCATGTCTTCAACATATCATCCTTAAAAAGGTACTGAGAAGTAGATTTAGGCAAGAGAGTCCCTAAGAGGAAGAAGGAAGTCCATGTGCTATCGTAGAGAGAGCATTAAGATTAATTCAAGGGTTAAGCTTAGCCATATCTATTTCCCCATCTGGGCCTCTATTTCCCCATTCTAAACAAAAGAATGGATTGAATGATCTCTCAGAGGCATTCCAGCTCCAGTAGTCTATGATCCTATGGATCTGGACAAACCTGCAAGTCAAATCAGAAAAGCATGTACTGAATAACTTAGCAGTGACTGCATCACTTTCATCAAGAATATGATGCTGCCAGTAGAGAGGCTGCAACATGTGACCAACAGACTTGTATAAAAAGCATGTAGCTGCTTGGAATTCACTGTGGTCAAAATTCAGCACACAGAATGAGAAGGGCAAAGAATTCCAGGTACTGATTGTCTTTGTGTCATATTCAGCACTACAGTCTTAAGTCACAAAGAAAGCCAACTAGAGAAGGCAGGTGGTTTCAGCCAATACCCAATGGATTGTAGGAACTGGTGTATTGACCTGGCATAGAACCAGGAGCAAGTTATAATTTAGGGACTTGTTGACCTTGTTCTGCAGTTTACCTCCTTTCTATGTCATAGCTTGGTTTTGTTTTCTACCTCCTCCAGCGATCACTTCAGGAACCTGAAGAAACCATTGTCATTGCCTTGTATGACTACCAAACAAACGATCCACAGGAGCTCATGCTACAACGCAATGAGGAGTACTACCTGCTGGACAGTTCTGAGATTCACTGGTGGAGAGTACAGGACAGGAACGGGTAAGGCATCTTTGTGGTTGCTGTCCCAGGGCTTGAGGGTAGGTGAGAATAGAGAAAACACTGGAATGATTTGTCCTGCCTTCATCAGCATGACCACTGTGCTGAGTTAGGAGAGGAGAGCAGAGGTAAAAGAAAGAGGAAGGCAGAAGTGGTTGAGGGGATCTTTCCACTTCTCAGAAGTGGTGGAGGCGGTCATTTGCTATGTTCGCTCCCCAACAAGCACTCCCAGCCCCCAAGCCCATTTAAAAATTCCCTGGGTTTTTTCACTAACATCCATAGAGTAGGAGATTGGCAGCTTGTTCTACAAGGAAGCACTATTGTTCTTGAGTGTTTAGATGAGACTGAAGGCACATCCCATTGTGAAGTGTCTATTTTCAGTGAAAAGAAAAGGCATGTAGAAATGGTACAGATTAGTGGTTATATTAAAAAGCATCAGGAGGAAGATACTAAAGACTTAGCTACACTACCAGTCTTTGAACTAGCCATCTGCATGATTCAGGGAGAAAGTTGAGTTGTGCTAATACCGGTTGTCCACTATGGGAGTTCTGAATGAAAAAAAAAATCTTATGAGCCCTTCTCTGATCTGAAATACAACAAAATTACTTTTGTTAACTTTCAGAATGCTCTGGGATATATATGACTTAGATACTAGTACTTAGTTTTAAGGCATCGGATTCATACTGTTTTATAAGGCTTTAGTTTTTCCTTTTAATATGTCAGAGGTATTTACCCAAGCCCTGGAATATTCTCCAGAATATGATTTCAATGACTGCATAAATCTAACACAAAAGTGTACCATAATTGAGCAATTCCCTTGCTGGGTGCTCAGGTTATTTCCAATATACTGCAGATATTAACAACACTGCAATGAACATCCTTGTATATTAATATTACAGGTTTATACATTTTTAAAACATGAGGTTATTACCGATTTAAAAATATAAAAAAGAAAAAGAAAAGACTCCATCATTGCAGTGTAGGATGGCCTAAATCGATGTTTTATTTTAAAAAAATAAAAATCCAACCTCCATTTGTCCCCATATCAAATCCAAAAGTAATCACTATTAACACTTTCTTATGTATCCCAAACAAAAAATGTATACATACACAAATGAATCCTTTTTTTTTCATTCACACAAAGGTGATTCATTCTGCTCTTCACCTTGCTTTTGACCTTTAGTAATATACCTTGGAGATCTTTTCGTATCAGCAATACAAATTTATTTTTTAAATAATTGCATAGTTTTGGAAGGTGTGCTTGTATTATAAATATTTGAATGATCTTAAATGGTAGGATATTTAGTTTCCAAATTATTTGTTTTCTTTGTTATTTTAAACAAAGCCACAATGAAGATCTTGTATTGCTCATGCTCATGTTTCTGGGCAATTTTTTGAAAAAAATTTGCAACATAGATAGTTTTGAAAATATATTTTTCTTTTGAAAAAATATATATCTCCTATTTCTAACTATGGAACTGTTGAGTCAGAGCATGTCTCAATTTAGGTAGATAATTCCCTCAGAAAGGTTGCCAAATTTACATTCCCACTACCCACCAACATCATGTGGGAGTGTCAACACTGGGTATCACTAACCTTAAAAAAAAAAAAAAACTAATCTGATGAGTAAAAAAAGAGGCACACAAATATCTTTAGGGTTAAGGCTTTACTTTTTACATAGATCAAAACTTGCTTTGTCAAAACGCCTTCTCTTTAAGTAGCCTTATTGACACCACTACAGGGAGAGTGAAGGAGGGGTGTAAAATATGGTTGGTTCAAGGACTGTTGTCTAGGAGACAGTGTTGCTGGCTAGCTAGGAACAGACCCCAAAGCACCTCATGTGGAACCTCCTTCTCTAGCTGACTTGTGGAGGCAAGTGAGGCTTGTCACATCACCTTCTCTTTGCCTATTATAAGGAGTCCCATATCAGAAACAGACTGCCCGGTTCTACAAACACCAGAAGAACTTATTCAGAAATTCACTCCTCCAGTCAACTGACATTTATTTAGCACACCTAATGTGCCAGGAAATTTCTTCTCCTAGGTTTCACTTCCCCAAATGACAGTTTACCCTTTGTTCAGTGGCCTATGGAAATACTCAGCTCTGCACTTCAAAGGCCATCAAAGAGGACACCCTAGAATCTAATTGGTGTTTTGGGAATTTCCCCAGCGTGCTTTGTAATAATGCAGTATAGTGGAAAGTCCACAAGATGGGGCGACAGAAGCCTTGGACTTTAGTATCAGCTGCTCTTGTTGTAGGTCTTTGGAAAAGTCACTTAAACTTTGGGCATCCATTTCCTTATCTGTGAAACACAGATGATAATATCGGCTCTGTCTATCTTACAAGGTTGAGGGAATCGATGAGATGCTAAACATGAAAGGAGCTTTGTAAATTCTCCATCCACATACAAATGAAGAGAATCAACATTTGTGATAATCATATTATCACATAATGTTATGTGGTTGGCATATTAGAACACAGTTATTCTATTTGAAAGTAAAAATTATATTTGACCTAGTACTAGAATTGCAAACATATGGTGTGGCAAAACCAGACAAAATCAAGTGGATTCCAAAAGACAGATATAAAAGAAATAGCAAATTTTAAAATAACTTGACTTCTATCAATTGGCACAGACTGCCTTGAGCACCATATTAGGGATGATTCTGAAGCTGGGTGTTCAGTTCTCCAAAGGAAGCATGTCATGATTGACTAGCAATGTCAGCCATGGGCACAGGATATGAGACAATCTTCTGATATTTGGCATCCCCATTCTTGATTTCTTTACTCCTCAAAACAATTCTGTGAAATAGATTATACATTCCTCATTAGACACCATCACCAGATTGAAAAATGGCTTTATTATATAAAAATTAAAATATGCTTTATGAAGTAAAGAGCAAGAAACTCTCAGGCATCTTTTCATAGATTGGCAGAGTTGGGAGGAATTTTATGTGGAATCTAGTTTAAGGCCCTCATTTTACAGAGAGGGAGCCAGAGGCCCAGAGAGTAAAAGGGACATTGTTTTCACCATGTAGTATTAAATGCAATAATGAATGTGAACGTGCTTTGAAAAATACAAGACCACACACAAATGTAAAGTATTTTGATGTGCTGATTAGTCTCTTTATCCATATGTCTTTGTTTATGCACAATTATCTATTCCTGCTCAAAAGAAGCTCCTACCTCTAAATCCAGCGTGACTCTATTCTTTTTTCTCATGTTTTACCATTTGTGTCTGAAGGAGTTCAATTAACAACAACAACAACATATTAGGGAGGCCTTGGATTAAAAGCTTATAATGCTGACTGGCAGTATCTTTTGGGACCTGTGGTGGGAAAGTGATTTTTTATATTTTAATTATTTTGGGTTCTTGACTATAAAATAGTAGCACTAAAGTGGAAAAAATACTGATTGTCACACCCCAAAGAAAATGTTTCCTTATAGAAAATAGAGACTAAACATTAATCTTTTTTCCACTAGAGGAAATTTCACAACGAGGAGAGCAACAAACAATGCTTTTTGAGTGAAGTAGCCACTTCTTATTTATTATGGTTCATATTTTAGTGGTGAAATCTATTGCCTTTAACAGATGGCAGATTTTTGTTATTTTTAGTGACTCTTTTATTCTAAAACTTTAAAATGTCTTATCATGAATACCAAATAATGTGAGACTCCCCCATCTTTAAATGACTTTTAACGGATTGAACCACCTCTAAAATGGAGATGTGAAAATTTGTCCTATAATAGTCTAAACATGAATTTCTCTTTTAACAGGCATGAAGGATATGTACCAAGCAGTTATCTGGTGGAAAAATCTCCAAATAGCCTGGAAACTTATGAGTAAGATATTTTCTTTGTTTTCTAAAAATATGGTACTAAGGTCCTCCTTAGATTAGGAATAAATTATTGGTTGATTATAAAAGTACCAGGCATTTTTTTTTCTTGTACTTTGATCCCTAAGTAAACAGTAGAGGAAAAATTTAAATAGAAGGGGGCCGACATATGTACTCACCTCCCCTTTAATCAAAGAGAGGACTCTAAGATACCCACATAGATTGTGGTAAACGGAAAAGATTCTTCCGGGAATCTTGGTCTTGCCTGAGAAGGAAGAAAACAGTATGAACACTAATCAAATACAAACTCACTTAAAACATACTTTAAGGCAATACTTCCAATACCAAAATAGCAGACAAATAGGTATTAAATATCTGCTTAGCTTGTATTGTTTATTTCAAGTTGTCAGAGAAGAGTTCACATGGATATAATTTTAATGGAACTACTTAATGTTTAATAAAATCCAATTGTAGTGGACAGTGTACTCACCATGTACGTATGCTCCCTAGCTCAGCTGCTAGAGGGTCCAGAAGCAACAGCCCCATAGCACCGCAACAGCATTGTGTTCACAGATCTTCCTTTCTAAATAGCACTTCCCACTAGAATAGAGTTCTTGAAGAAACAGCTTGGGGATTCAGAGTTGAGGCAGGGAAAGAACAGGATGAACTTGGAACACCTTGCACCAGAAAGTAAAGAAGTACTGCCCCCCAAAATATTTTAATGATGTGGACTTGTGAAAGGGCAAAGAAGCTTAAAATTGTTCCTTCTGGCCAAATATGTGACAATTCCAGTGTCAAAATAAGTAATGACAGTAATGGACTATAGTCCATTGAGTAAAATAAGAATTGATAACAAGCAGATAGTTTGATAGGTAAGTAAGTAAGTAAATAAATAAATGAGAAAGTTCTTTCTTACCATAGAGTGCCAGCTAATGAATGTAGAAGGATGATCACATTTAAAAATCACCATTTGGGGCACCTGGGTGGCTCAGATGGTTAAGCGTCTGCCTTCGGCTCAGGTCATGATCCCGGGGTCCTGGGATCGAGTCCCACATCGGGCTCCCTGCTCCTTGGGAGCCTGCTTCTCCCTCTGCCTCTCTCTCTCTCTCTCTCTCTCTCTGTGTCTCTCATGAATAGATAAATAAAATCTTTAAAAATAAATAAATAAATAAAAGTAAAAATCACCATTTGTAACTCAAAGTATCAACTAATTCAGGCAAGAAACATCAATGATGTCTAAACAGACATCCCAGGCCTCCTGATATGGCACCAAGAAGGACACATTACTTCTGGATATTCCTGCCCAGACATGCATAATCTGAGTTTCATCATGAGGAAATAATAGGCAAATCCATATTCTACAAAATAATTGGCCTGTGCTCTTCAAAAATGTTAATATCATAAAAGACACAAAAGGCTGAGAAATTGGTCCACACTGAAGGAGCTTAAGGAGATGAGTGTTGATTAAATAGACTAGTAATCCTGGATTGGATCTTGAGCCATTAAAAAAAAAAATAGGGGCACCTGGGTGGTTCAGTCAGTTAAGCGTCTGGCTCTTGATTTCAGCTCAGGTCATGATTTCAGAGTTGTGAGATCAAGCCGTGTTTTGGGTTCCATGCTGGGCATAGAGCCTGCTTAAGATTCTCTTTCTCCCTCTCCCTTTGCCCCTTCCCCCCACCTCTCTCTTTCTCTCCCTCTCTGAAAAAGAAAAAAAAAAGACAAAACACATCATTGGGACAACGATGAAATTTGAATAAAGTCTGGAATTAGATAATAGTATTGCATCAATGTTAAATTTCCTGATTTTGGTAATTGTACCATTTTTATATAAGTATATATTCTATTTCTTAGAAATACATACTGAAGGGGCTCCTGGGTAGCTCAGCCGTTAAGCGTCTGCCTTCGGCTCAGGTCATGGTCCCAGGGTCCTGGGATTGAGCCCCGCATCAGGCTCCCTGCCGAGCAGGGAGCCTGCTTCTCCCTCTCCCTCTGCCTGCTGCTCCCCCTGCTTGTTCTCTCTCTCTCTCTGACAAATAAATAAAATCTTAAAAAAAAAAAAAAAGAAATACATATTGAAGTACTTAGAAGTAATAGTCTATTCTCAAATGGTTTGGAAAAAATATATATATCTATTCAGAGGGAATGGTAAGGCAAATATGTAAAATATCAGAAATTAGTTCATCTGGGTCAAGTGTATATGGGAGTTCTTTTATAGTATTTTATAACTTTACTATACATTTGAAATTATTTAAAAATGAAATGCGTTTAAGTCCTCTCCGAATGTAAGATACCAGGGTTGAAGAATATTAGCTAATGAAGACTTCTATTAACTCATTTGGGTTCTTATTAGTTCAAATGTGGTCAAGTTATTTGTTGCTGAAATTCTAATAGACTCTGTAGTGAAGAGCTATCATTTTCTGAAGAGTCTCTCAACCTGAGACTGGTTTTGATCAAGTATGAGTGAGTAGCCCCTCCCTCAGCTAATAGAAGAGTCATCAGTTCCAAGAATACTGAGCTGCAATGAAGCATGTAGGAAATATGCTTAAATAGAATCCTTTTTATAGCCAATGCCTTTAGGGAAGAAAATAGGCATTTATTTCAAATGATCATTAGGCTGGGAAGTTTTGTTTTTGCTTTTAATCAGAATCTCATCATTTATGATAGAGGGAAAAAACTCAGAATTCCAACAGAGTATAAAGCACTAGAGAATGGTGGAGCCTGAGGCAAATAAAAAAGTGTATTCCCCCTCCCGAAGGTATTTTAGTTCATAAACAAAACAAAACAAAACACTAGACCATATAAGCAAAACAGTCTGTGAGCCCTATTTATTCCACATACTGTTGGTTTGCATTTTTCAGATTATGGGATCACAGCTAGAGAATAAAATGACTCACAAGCAAACATCCAGACATTTAGAAGTATATATATATAAAATACCCAATAGGATGATTTTTTTCATCCTTGAACTTAATATTGTCTAGTTTCCGGTGACATCTGCATAAGAACTCAAAAATGTACCATCTGGGAGCATAATCATGGTTTGGTACATCCATTGCTTGGCTTCAGGTCTCCTGCCCTGGTTTGGGGGCATAACCTTGGGCAAGTTTCCTCACCAGGCTGGATCTCAGATCCCTTTCCCTTAAATTGAAGGGTAGACAAGTTGAAGGAGGCACTCTAGCTGGCATTCCCTCCCCATTCCTGAACTCAGGGTAGACATCACTCTTAGATCGTGACACACTTACCTACTGAGCTCAGGTGTGCAGCTTTAGGCAGCTACGACTAATTGACCAGAGCTTGCACATGAGATGAAGCCTATTTGCCATCCCTCAACTAGATAAGTTACAAGAGCCCACTGAGGTATAAAGTACCATTCAGTTGCATGATGTTCAAAAGCTCAGGTGGATCCATTAATTCCCTTATTTGTAGCTACTTTCTAATAGCCACACGAGTTTGATAAGTAGTGTTCCTTCCCCACCCAGAACTTCTCTCCTCTGAGGTTTATACTTTCCTAAAACGGATTGTTAACTGATGATCTTTCTAACTCCTCTTATCTAATAAGTAGCCAGGGAAGCCAGGATGTGGCTCAAGTGTTACCAGCAACATTCAAAAACCTTACCTCTAAAAATCACTCATATAATTCTTACCACTTTTTAGGGTTTTTTTTTTCACCAGACCCCAAAATTATAAAAATAATATAATCACTTTGCAGAAGATCTTGAAAACCAATCTAAAAGAGGAAAATACTGCAATTGCTTTACAAGGCTAAACTTTCAAATTTGTGCCCAATTTTTATAGCTGTCCTAGCATCATCCTACTTAAAACCACCCACTGACTTATGAAATGGAGAAGATGAAGGTTTTCTAAAATTTTATTATGGAAAATTTCCAACTTGCACAAAAGTAAGGAGAATAATTTAATGAACCTCCATATACCCAAAACCCAGCTTCAAAAATTATTGACACTTTACCAATTCTGATTCCTTTGTTCCCTTCCAATTAAACATTTTATTACCTGGAAATGGTTCATGCCTTTGTTTTTAAGTTGGAAAGCACTGGTACAGACAGAAAAAGACCAAATCATTTTCTAACATTATCTTTTACAAGTAAATAATAAAAATTGTTTAACTCTCATCGACATACGACTTTTTCCTGCTTTCAGGTGGTACAATAAGAGTATCAGCCGAGACAAAGCTGAAAAACTTCTTTTGGACACAGTAAGTCTCCTTTAACCTACCTTTTGACTTAAAATAAATGAATTGTGCTCTTTTTTCCAGCCATGCTATCATTTATGCCAATGCAGTAAGCCGGCATACTGGATTACAGTGGTTTTCAAGTCGAGTGGAAATATTCTGGGGATTTATAGAAACTAGCATATAATAGGATAAGCAATCCAGCGAGGGTTCAAGGCCTTGGTATTGACATGCAACTGTCACAACAGGTATTGTGGCCTTTCTGGCCACGATGACTGACCCTGTGGAGCCATGGGGCTAGTTTGCCTTGCCTGCTTCTCACTTGGGGGTGAGTGTGACTTAGATACTACTTGGTTGGGTTGTGTGTCCAGAAGAAATACATCACTTGTTTTAACTTATTTTTCATGCAGCGGTTCTCAACAGCCATGCAGTATAAGTAGCTGATCTTGCCCAGGGATGTCAGAATAAAGGGAGAGAGGGATGAGAAGAAAGAAAGCAGGGTGCAGGGGGGAAAGTACAGGACCCAGTCCCTGCTCTCTCACCAACACAGTGGGTGATTTGGGGGATGTTTCTTCTTCCTGGACCTTAGTTTCTCAATGAGTACAGGAGGAGCATTGGATTAAATCAGCAATGACAGTTACCCAATACTCATGCTGTCACCCTTTGCTCCTGATCTTATGTGACAGAGTTGATCATGGTCCATGGCTTTGGGATCCTTCTCAACATGGGGCTGCAGGCAGCTACCATCAAGTGATTGGCACTCAAGGTGAACCCTCTCTGCCTGGACCAGAGGGTCATTTGTTATTCTAGAATAGTGCCTCTCAAATATCTGTGTTGATGGATCACATTTTTGTGGCTGGTTTTCAGTTTCCAATTTGTCACAGACTTACATTTTATAAAAGAAATAAAAATGAACTACTAGAAAAAATAAAGAAGCAGACACAAAAAATTCAAGTTCAATTTTTTTATTAGCTTTAGATTCATTAGACATAAAATTACTCTGATTGCTATGAAAAATTTCTAAATGCCTACTCTCGATTTCTCTTTTTGTTTGGTGACGGACCAGCAACAATTTGCCATCTGGCACCCACCCACAGACCACACTTTGAGTAGCACTGAAAAATTGCACATTGACGGCTCTTTCAGAGAAACCAAATGCATGGAGTTATGGAGAAAAAGTCTTCCACAGAGCAATCAATGAATTTACCAGCACATATGCCTAGAGCAGTTGTTCTCAGACCTGTTTGCACACTAGAATCCCCTGGGAAACATTTTTAAAAATACCTGTGCCCAAGCCCCACCCCAGATTAATTAAATCAGAATATCTAGTTGGTAGGATCTAGGCATTAGTAATTCAGAGAAAAATCTCTCCAGGTGCGTCTAATATTCAGACGATGTTAATGACCTGTACCCAACACTAGCCTCACTGGTGACACCAGTAAACCGTTGGTATGAGTTGATGGAAGCATTAATCTCCCTGTGCCAAAATGTCAACCCTATTCCTGCCATTTCACCATATAACATTTCTCAGTTTGGGTCTGAAGGTTTTCTTATCTTTAAGAATTTTATTTTTTAAAAGATTTTATTTATTTGAGAGAGAGACAGGGAGCCGGGGGAGCAACAGGCAGAGGGAGAGGGAGAAGCAGGAGACTCAGTCCCAGGACCCTGGGATCATGACCTGAGCCGAAGGCAGACGCTTAACCAGCTGAGCCACCCAGACACCCTATCTTTAAGAATTTTAAATTAAATCGCAAATCTTTCCCGCACGGAATGCGGATGAAACGACCAACTCATCTTGGTTTGCCTGGGACTGTCCCAGTTTTAAAACTGAGAGTCCTGTGTCCAGGAATCCCCAGCCCACTCAGTCCTGAGCATACTGGGACAGCTGGTCACCCAACATCTGGCCACTATTTGCACAGTGGTTAGGAATGAGCCACTGTGGAGGGTTGATGAATACTGTCAAAGAATAATTTAAAGGCATACAGTTAATTATTAGCATGCTATGTACTTTTGTAGAAAGGGAAACTGGTAACAGATTGATTCATTCCCATCTAAGGCAAAAATAGAATTTCTAAAAGAGGAAAAGGGGAAGGGAGAAGGAAAACCCACAGTCATACTGGGAGCAGTGAACTCCATCTTCTTCAGATAAGTTGCCAATTAGCAAGCAGCTAGCATAGAGGACAAGGTGAGATGTTCTGCCCTTGGGCAGCTTGTTCTCATCAAAGAGAGCATGTTCAATGGTTTATGGATTCCCAAAAGACGCTGCTTACCAGGGAGGGATGCATCAGAGGCAGCCTGCATTCTGGCCACCGTCTCTGTGAGCAGCCACCTCAGCTACAGTGTGTGGGCACCATTTCCTTCATCACGATTGCTGGCTGGAAACTCGAGTACCTTACCATTTTGCTGAGCACAGGATGAAGCCCTTAGGGGTACTTGAGACAGGATCTTTGACCTCAGTAACTTTAGACTCTACTGGGAAACAAGACAAACTGGAGAGTTAGAGGATAATCCAAGGTAAACTATGAACTTGAGGCAGGCTTTCAGTGACCTTGGAGCTCAGAGAAGATTCTAAGGAGTCACATCTCGTGGGAGGAAGAGGAATTGAGCTGAGTCATGACTGGACCCTGGTTTTCCTTGGTTCCACATCAACTCAGCACTTAATCATTTCCTGTGGTCCCCAGGAAACCATGCATTAGAATCACTGGGAAACATAAAAATCCAGAATCCCCGTGGGCCCTGTCCCAGACCTAGAATCAGAATCTCCAGAGTTAGTTCCTGGGAACCTATATTTTTCCAAGTTAAACTTGTGATGCCTGGGCAGCTGGCTCAGCTCCTAGTTCCCCAACCTATGTTATTGGATAACATAGTAAAACCTGACTGATGAGAACTAATTGAGAGGATTGCAAAATTAATTAAAAACTTGAATTATAATGTTTAAATAAGTGCAATTTTGTTATTTTCAATCACACATTGGTTGATGTAGTGTTACCCATGGAGCCCTTGAACAGCCCACATGAATGACAAACTGAAGTGGTTTCCTGTTTTATGGCAGTACTTTGGAGACACTTAAATACATTTTGCTTGCTGGGGCAGTTGAAACATTCCTCCCTGCTCATATTCTGAACTACTTTACCAAATCCTCTTTGCCTCCTTAGGTAATATAAGGGCAAACTTCAGTGAGCCCCTGTATTGTCTGCTACTTGAAACAAAAGCAGAATTGTTTCCTGGGTGTGTTTAGAATCTCTTTATCTAACAAGTAGAGGACACTGAAGAGGTGGATTGATGCATTTTTATTAACTAGACCTCCTGACGTACTGTCCCATCCATAGTTCTCCACTAGAATATAAAGGCTTTATCTTCCTGCTGCACCTAGAATCCCAAACTGGATTTATGACAAGGCAGTTCCTCAATAAATAGTTGTTGAGTGAATGAATACGTCAAATGCTTCATAAATGTTTTTAAATTAACAACCATGCTTAAAGAGAACCTGGCTGATCATGAGCATCATTGGGGGATCGTTTTAAAAATACAAATTCCAAACTCCAGTCCTCACCAGGCAGAAGCTCTAGAGGTGGGACCCAGGTGATTCTGGGACTTACCCAAGTTTGGGAACCAAAGAAAAGCATCTCCTACATCATCCTATCAATTTATCAGATAACACTACCTCTGAGAAGCCTCTCATGATTTCCCTCTCTCTAGCCATGGAATGTGGTGGCCTGGCCTTGGAACCCTAATGGTGCAATGTCATTATTTCTCCAGTGGCACTGTTCTCACTCTGCCTCAGGCCTCAGGAGTTTCTCTTCTGTGTTAACCCATTTAGGTAGAGGGTAAATTCCTTGTGAGCAGGTATTCCATACCTTACAGCATCGCACACGTTGGGTGACCTGAATTTTAGGCAGGAGCCTTACTCCAAGTCATTCGTTTATCGTATTTCTATGATTCAAAGATGTCATTAAAGATGCAATGTTGACTTAATAATGGATTTGTTTCAAGAGAAGAAAACAACCAGCTCCTGAATGTGTCAGACACATTCTCCTGAAGTGTAATGCCACATGACGAGGCTATGAATTATCAGTCTGTCTTTTGCAGCAACCTACCCTGTGTGTTGAGATTACCTTCTGTAAATTCACCTTTAAATCCTGTGGGCAGAAAGAAGGAAATATACTCCTAATATGTCAGCATATCTCAGATAAAGGCAGACAGTGGAATTAATACTTCCAACAGATGGTATGCCATAGCATGTGACAATAATGGCTAGTAATAGCCCCAACAGTCCTTGTTCTGATAGATTCCAGAAAATCTTCTATGTGCTTTAATTCTCCCAACAACCTTACATTTTACAGATGAGGAAACTGAAGCTCATACATTTAATCAGGAAATACCTGGAATTCACAGAATTATAGGCTGGTAAAATAAGAATTCCCTTTAAAGAACATCTGTGTTATGGAAGAGTAAACTGAGGCCAAGTTCAGAGTGTGAATCAGTGGCATAGTTCTGGACCAGAGGAGGGGTGCATACATACACATACGCACAGGTGCATGCACACACAAATGGTTAATCATGGAATATATGAGTTAAGTTCTATTCTCCCATCCCCATAATTCCCATCCATATATTTCACCACCTCCATGACTTTTCTCCCCTATTGTTGCCTCTTTATTTTTCTAGGTAAATTAGTAAAAGGTAAACTGAGACCTTGAAAATGTCCCAAGGAATGGGGGCCACGCTTCTGCTGCACTGTATAAGTCAGTGCCCCTTTGCATGGTGGTGATGTGAGCTAAGACCCTTTAAGCTCCAGTATTCTTGGTGGTTGTGACTTCCTGTGAGCCCCTTACAGGAAGTAGGCGGTAACACACATGCTGGATGCCTCGTTTTCCTCAGAGCTCTAGACTGCCTCAGCCCCACACCAGAGTTTCCTGTCACCCTCACTGAATGTTACTTAGAGCAACAATGGTGGGGGAAGAGCTCTGAGCCTCCCACGTTCAGCCGAGCTGACTGCAAACCTTACCTCCCCTTTCTCTCATGTCTGTGGATTACTCTTGTTAACAGTTGGGCCCCACCTGCTTACAGTTTTAAAAAATAACAACAATAACAGCTTCTTTGGAAGAATAAGAACAACAATAAAACATTCCTAATTAAATAGAAGAGATGTTTGCACGCCCTTCTTTATAGACACTTGATGAACTTCTGGGTTTGTTTTGTTATTGTTGTGGGGTTTTGTTTTGTTTTTGGTTTTTTTTTGGGGGGGTCTATTTCTTTCCCTTTTAGAATAACTTAGATATGCAGATAAAATCTTCCTCTGCTGAAGTTTTGTTTCTTCCTGCCTTGAGTTTAACCCATCACATTCCAATGAGGCAAGAGCAAAAGCTTCAATATTTGGCAAAGGGGAAAATCTCTGAAGACAAACTGTGCTACATGTAATGCATGGATGAATATCACAAAGGTGATGTTGAGCAAAAGAAGCCAGACACTGATTCACTATTTACAGTAGCCACAAGGTGGAAACAGCCCAATGCCCGTCCATTGATGAATGGATAAACAAAATGTGATATGGTCATATGATGGAATATTATTCAGCCATAAAAAGGAAAGAAGTACTGATACACACTACAACTTGGATAAATCTTGAAAACAATATGCCAAGCAAAAGGAGGCAGGCACAAAAGACCACCTCTTATATTATTTCATTTGCCTGAAATGTCTAGAATAGGCAAATCTATAGAGACAGAAAGCATATTAGCCTGACAGGGGTGCAAATAAAACAGAGGTATACTTGGGGAGTAATGGAAATGTTCTAAAATTAGATTGAGTTGCACAACTCTATAAATTTACAAAAATTACTGGATTGTATATTTGAACTGGGAGAATTTCATGGTATGTAAATTACGCTTCAAAAGCTATTTTAAAATCAAATGAACTAATCTGGGATTTTTGATGTCATAAAGATCAACTTTACTTTAGAAATTAAAATAAACTACTGACCCCAAAGGGGAAAAAACTCTAACGCTTGGAAAATCATGTTTTTAAAAGGAGGATTTATAAGCAAATGTTAAAAGAGTCTTTAGTATTTCACTGGATAAATGGTTTACATTTATATCTGAGAAAAGGAAAATAAGACTCTGTTTAGCACTCTTCTGTCCTCACCATGTCCAAGATTCTGCACAGAACACATTGTGGGTAATGTGGGATGCTAACTATAGGCTCAAGATCATATAGTGCTCAAGAAAGATTATAAAGGATTTCTTAAATTTAAAAGAAAATCATGAAATAAAATTACTAAAATAGGGGAGCCTGGGTGGTTCAGTCAGTTAAGCATCTGCCTTCAGCTCAGGTCATGATCCCAGGGTCCTGGGATCGAGCCCCACATCGGGCTCCCTGCTCTGTTGGAAGCCTGCTTCTCCCTCTCCCACGCCCCCTGCTTGTGTTCCCTCTCTCGCTGTGTCTCTCTGTCAAATAAATAAATAAAATCTTAAAAAAAATTACTAAAATACATTCTATGTGAACCAAAAATACTAGGACTGTTTCAGGATATCTTAGAAAAAGAAACATGGTGCCTTTTCTGCATTTCCCTCAATTCTTCCCCTGTTTTCAGGCAGTAGCCCGAGCAGCCCAAACTCACAGCCCTGGGGTAGGGAGAGCATGTCTAAGCAATAGGGGCCTGAAGATTCACATCTCAGCTTCAATTTCTTTTCTTGCCCCAGTTTTATTGTGATATAACTGACATATAGCATTTTATAAGTTTAATGTGTACAATGCAATAATTTGATATATATATTATAATACGTATATTGATATATATATTGCAAAATGATTAATACAGTTTTATTAATATCCATCACTACACATAGTTACAGATTGTTTTCTCCTGTGATGAGAATGTTGAAGATCTACTTTCTTAGCAACTTTCAAATAGAAAACACAATACTGTTAATTATTGTCATCAGGCTGGACCTTACTTCCCAGGTCTTACTTGCCTTATAACTGGAAATTTATACCTTTTGGCCACCTTCATGCAATTCCCCCACCTTCCACCCCCCTCCGATTTTCAAAATAGATCCTTGAAGTCCCAGAAGAGATAAGAGTTTGGCGTGTTTCACATTTATGTGGTAAATTATAGGTTTGACAAGAACGCACAATGATGTAAGGACCAGTTGTCCCCAGCCACCCCCCACCCCTGCTCCCAACACACACACCCCTGCAGGTTTAGGGCCAAGTTAGAGGTAGCAGGTTATATATCTGGGCGAATTTTCTAACATGTAATGCTGTTTTGAGAGAGAGACACTACTAGTCAGGACAATTATAAGTAAGAGCTACATGTTCAGTTGAGTCAATGGAGACAGCATCTGGATGTCTGTAAGAATCACATGGCAAGCTTCTAAACAGCTCAGGAACCAGGGTGGCAGTCCTACAGATTCTAAGTGCGTAGGTAAGAAGTGAAGTACGGTTAACTGTTTGCTGGTTTGGGGTTTTTTTGTTTTGTCTTATTCTGTGCTTCAGGTTCTTCAGGGGATCGTGATAATCAACAAAGTGTGGGGCACAGGGTTATAGGGAGTTAAGCCAGATCCATAGTTCTCAACTGGGGGGGTGATTTTGTCTCCCCAGCGAACACTTGACAGGGTCTCACATCCAGCTGACAGAGGCCAGGGATGCTGCTAAACATCCTGGGATTCTAGGAGTCAAAAACAATTAGCATGGCCATCCGTGCATATTGTTTTCATTTTGTGTAGACAACCCACTCTGGGGGTTGGGGATGGAGGGGCTCGCATTGTTCCAAATCGTATACACTTTGCTCCATATGCTACCAGTATGTGTGGCTCACACATGAGGCTCATGTGTTTCACTGGCCTTCGCTTGTGGCCCTTGCCATGTTGAAATTAAGTAAATAATAGGTTTTGAAAATACTACCGGCACAGATTTACAGTTGGATAGGAACAGAGCGTTGGACATGAAGTACTCAAGACAGAGTCCAGATTTTAAAGTTCCCACCAGGAGTGAATACACTGGCATATGCATTTGCTTGTACTTTTTCCATCAGCGCTGGCAAAACTGTTGCGGGGGGTGTGCCCCAAGTACGTTCTTGGGGCTTTCCCTTCTTTCCACTTCCCTCATGAGACCAGGAACTTATGTTTGTTTGTTATTTTTTTCTCCTTTTGCCCACAGCAAAATCAGCACTTTAGAAAGGGCCTAATACATACATTCCCATTAAAGAACTGCTGAAGCTTCAAGATCAGAAAGCTTTGTGCCCTTGGAGGGGAATGGAGAACTGGCTTCTAACATGTGTTGAGAGGAGGTATCATGGAGCAGTGGAAGGAACATGGGCTTTGCTCTCATGCCACATTCAAGGTTCAAAGCCCAGGTCTGCCACTTCCTAGTTGTGGATTGTGAGAAAGTCACTCCAGCTCTGTGGCACTCAGCGTCCTCGTCAGTAAACTGAGGACACCAAATCTAGATTGCTATGTTGTAGTGAGGGTTGGATAACATCTGTAAGGAGCCTGGTACATGGGGACCCCCAAAAGGGCAGAGCTTATATTTATCTGTCTTTATTCCCTGCTTACACGTCATCACCAGAAGTCTCTGATCTATGGTAGGATGTTGGGAAATATCTGTTGAATGAACAAATGAAATGGTAGCCATTATTGCGGAACGTCTGCTCTGTGCAAAGCTGGCCTATTGTCTCTCCTCCTTTTGCAGACCAGCAAGTGGAGCTGGAGGCATGAGGCTGGTTTCCTGGGATCACTAACCTTCTGTGTTTTCTAACCATTCCAGGGCAAAGAAGGAGCCTTCATGGTACGAGATTCCAGGACCCCGGGAACATATACCGTGTCTGTTTTCACCAAAGCCATCGTAAGGTATGGTGCTAAGTCAGCTCAGCAAAGTGGGGAGAGACACACAGCAACCTCAGACAGTGTAAGAGGCAGAGAGGTCGCTAGAAATGGTGTGCTTTCCCTGATCCCTCTGAGAAAACCAAGGCCAGGAAGATGAAAGACATAACTGAAGTCATTTCGCTGCAAAGTAACAGAGCTGAGTCCAGACGCCAGGTTCTCAGAATTCTAAGTTAGCACCCCCGAGTGCAGAGCTCTAAAGAAAGAAAATACTTGAGCTGTAGTTGATGATTTATAATTTAACCCACAGCTAAAGGGGAAGATACTTTCAACCAAAAGTAGGCGTTTTAGTTCTGGCTCGGCTAATAAAGCTACCTACCATTTATTGAGTCCTTACCATATGCCAGAATGTTATAGACTGTTTCTGATCCTCACAAGCTCTGAAGGCAGGAGTTACTATGCTCCTTCCACATAGGAGAAAACAAGGCTCAAAGAGCTGATGGCACCTCCCTGAGGCAATAGAGCTCAGGTGGTCAAGCCACCATCATGCTCCAGCTGGCTGACTGCAAGACCCTGCTTGTCTGCCCCTCTCTGTCCCTCAGTTTCCTGCTCAGTAAAACGAATGTCTAACAGCCTATCTGGGTCTCAGATTCTCTTCTAATTAAAAAATAAGTAAGAATAAAGCAGTTTGGCAATGAGCAATTTCCAGTAAGATTTAAGAGAAAAGAGAAAAAGAATGATGAAGGCGTCCTCAGGGAACACTTCTTGGAGAATGAGGACATGAGCAAGAGCAGGGTCTGGATGGGTGGTGGAGAAGAAGGGTGCTGCCCAGGGATGGGAAAGAAGATGCACATCACAGAGGGGCCATGCCTCTTCCACGGCTGGGGACAGTGACCTGCAGCTCCATAAGATATTATGGAGAAGGAATGAGAAATAAAGTTTATGCTGAGGGTGTCCAAGACCACCTCCAGATTCAGTGATCCACCTTGAAGACTTACAGGACTCAGCATACAGTCGGTCACACTCAAGGCTAAGATCTATTACAGTGTAAGAGTACAAAGCAAAAACAGCAAAGGGAAAAAACACATGGGGCAAAATCCAGAGGAAGCCAAACATAAGCTTCCAAGAGTCCTCTCCCAGGGGAGTCACACAGGACATGCTTAATTCCTCCTGCAATAAGCTTTGACAACAGGGGTAAAATGGTGTCTACCAGGGAAGCTCACGAGAGACTCGGTGCCTAAGGTTTTCATTGGGGGCTAGTCACCTAGGCACCCTCTGCCTAGCACATAGCAAAATTCCAGAGTCCCAGAAGAAAAGCAGGCATTGAACATAAGTCACAATGCTATACAAACAATTTAGGAACAGGGAGCCATCCTTATCAGTTAAAGAATGGTGAGAGCCCTCCCAAAACCCAGATTCTCAGATGCCAGCCACAGGCCAGCCTTGCAAGCAGGACTTTCCAAAGAGAGCATTCAGAGCTTCTGTGTTAACCCTTTGCTTTGCAAATCACGTAGTACTAAGGGTCCAGAGTGCTCCTTTATCGTCTGCTGACAGTTAGTGAAATCCACAGAGCAGAGGAGGCAAGCATGTAGCACACACAAGACCATTCCCCACTTCATGGCCATAGAAGAAGCATCACCAACCCATCATGGCACTGATTCTAATTGGGTCTAAATGCAGCCTCAGAGTCCTTCCTACTCCAGCACCCAGGGCCACCCTGTCAAGACCGACACACGAGTTGAAATAGACCTGCCATCCTTCTAAGAGGGTAAAAAAACAAAGCTAATAGGAATCTGATACCAGTAGACATTTTTGTGTCTAAATATTGCTTGTTAATAATCACTGCATACATGTTTCATTTGTTTCAGTGAGAACAACCCCTGTATAAAGCACTATCACATCAAAGAAACAAATGACAACCCCAAGCGATACTATGTGGCTGAGAAGTATGTGTTTGACTCCATCCCTCTCCTCATCAATTATCACCAACATAATGGAGGAGGTGCGATCTAAAGGACGAGGCCAGAGGGGAACCCCTGCAGGGGAACTTGGAGAAAAATGACAACCACCCCGCCGGGTTTCTTCATCCCGGACAAGCTGACCATAAATAATAACTAAATCTCCAAATAGAAAAGGATGCCAAATATTTGATCATATTACATATTTCCCATTGGCAAATTCTGTTGTGAGACTCATGGGATTTCACCACCTGCCCATCTGTATTTATCACTCTTGTTGGAGGGGGTGTAATGTCAGTGGCTGGGCTTTGGGATTTGTTTTCCAGGATAAAAATAGCTTTTGTATTGGATTATATTTTTGCTGGTGATGTAACTTGAACAGTTGCTACAGTAAAGCTCTAACCACTGCCTTTCACTTTTTAATCAACCCAGGTCTGGTCACTAGACTCCGGTATCCAGTTTGTTCCTGGAGGCAGAAAGCCCCGGTCACAGCAGGACTGAGATACGGTGGGCAGTGCGGTCGGCAATGTTTTGTGTTTGCACTAACTCACATCCCGAAAGGTCTGGGGCAAATTCTGAATGGACTTCCCATGGACCTAATTCTTCCCCAGACTTAAAATAACCATTATGACAGGTCCACTGGATATCTGCAGATGATGTGCACAAAGGAATATTTACAAAGTGTGTAAGAGAGATATATATAGGAGCACATTTATCCATGTCAAATCAGTGTCCATTGGTTTTACTTAAGAGTTCATCGAGTGTTTATTGAGCACCTATACTGTACACAGCACTCTACTAAATGCTATTCGAAAAAAATATTAGAAAATAATGCCTTAGGACCATATTCCCACCTATCTTCTAGAACTTCTGTATCATCTAGTTTGCTGGGTATGCTCCATTCCAAGGGCTGGAAGCTGGAAGCATTCAGAAGTGTTTGTCTGCATAACACGGTGTTAATTTTTTTTCAGTGCCTTTAGGCAAAGCTTGCATCTCCAGTGCCATAAGCCCTGTTACTCCTTATTATCCTTTGGAACTGCCACCCTCATTTTTTATTATCTGCCTGGACCCTAAAGGCATTTGATTTTCCATCCCCTAGTTTAAACTGTGCTGGTTGAGGAGAAGGCTGGAGTAATTTTCATTTTGTGTCTCCTAGATGGGTGGTTCTCAGACTCCAGAGTACATCTAAGTCATCTGGGATGCTTAGTAATAGTGTTGGCTCCTGGGAGCACCTGGGTGGCACCGTCAGTTAAGCATCCAGCTCTTGATTTCGGTTCAGGTTATGATCTCAGGATCATGAGATCAAGCCCCACATCAGGCTCTGTGCTCAGCGCAGAGACAGTCTGCTTAAGACTGTCTCTCCCCTGCCCCTCCCTCTCCGCCCCCAAAATTAAAAAGGAAAAAAAAAAGAAGAATGTTGGCTCCTGGACACTACCTAACACTTACCAAAACACAATCCCTGATAATGGAATCCTGGAGTCTGCATTTTAAACAAATGCTCTAGGTGATTTTGACCCAGGTGATTAGAGAGTCATACTTTGAGAAATACTGCCATGGGCCCTCCATCCCTAACTAGCACCATATCTGTTACACAACAGGAACTCAGCACTATTTTCTCTTGACTCAAAGAGGCAGAAATTGAGCTGTTTATGGTACTAGGGTCAAGTGCCAGGAAAGGGTAATGCCTCTTTAGCCTCCTTATAAAACTAGGGTAATTCTAATAACTATAGAATCCTAATGTATCCATGCTGGATGGGATCTCAGAGATTATTTTATGAACCCGCTCATCTTGTCAATGTAAAAATTGAGAATCGAATTCCTTTTATTCATTTACTGAACATTTTTGAGAGCCTACCGTGTACCAGACTGTGCTGGCAGGTACCTATGTACCAGACCTCTTGGGATCCTTACGCCCAACCCCTGCTAGGGCCAGACAGAGTGCTGTGGAGGCACTTGGTGGATAAATGAATGCATGAATGAATGATCAGCTCAAATGAAATTTGCTCTGTGTGAAAAATGGCAATAAAATATTTTCAATCAGGAATAGAAAATAGTTGAGACATTACAAGAACCCTTTCATTTATTTTCTTTGATATCTTGATTAATGCCACTTTCCTTCATCCTTCCATATAATCTCCCCCCACATACATTTTTCATGGTTTTAAATGCATATACTATGTTATTATTTGGGGGGAAGATAATAATTTTACCTATTTGCCTAAAGCTGATACTATTTGCCATCTTTGGGTTATATTAACAATAAAGTAACATGCTATCAAGGGCTATATATAGTCTCCTTGTAGCCCTATGCCTCATATCTACTGCTTGCCACCCCTGGAAGACCCTCTCTCTCTTTTCCAGGGAAATGGGTGATTGATCCCTCAGAGCTCACTTTTGTGCAGGAGATTGGCAGTGGGCAGTTTGGGTTGGTGCATCTTGGCTACTGGCTCAACAAGGACAAGGTGGCCATCAAAACCATTCAAGAAGGGGCTATGTCAGAAGAAGACTTCATAGAGGAGGCTGAAGTCATGATGTGAGTAGCCAAAATAAGAGTATGCAAAGATGTCTTGGGGAGGATATTCTGTGCTGTTCTTTACATACCATTTTGATGCCATGTTCACCACTTTGCTCCTCAAATCTAGTGATGGTTTCCAGGGGCATGGAGAATAAAATCAAACGCCTCACCATGGTCTACAAGGCCTGTCATGGTCTTGCCCTGTCTGCTCCCCAGTCTCATCCCCTCCTCATCTCCCCTCTGGTCCACAATGCACCAGCCACAGTGGCCTCCATTCATCCTTGCACATACCATCTGACTTCTCACCATCCTTCAGGTTGTTTTTGTTTTGGAGAGGGAGTGCATTTTTGGGAGACTGAATTTAGATCATCTCACCCTTTGCCTTTTTCCTTCAGGAAACTCTCTCACCCCAAACTGGTCCAGCTGTATGGGGTGTGCCTAGAGCAGGCTCCCATCTGCCTGGTGTTCGAGTTCATGGAGCACGGCTGCCTGTCGGATTACCTGCGCAGCCAGCGGGGGCTCTTTGCTGCAGAAACCCTGCTGGGCATGTGCCTGGATGTGTGTGAGGGCATGGCGTACCTGGAGGAGGCATGTGTCATCCACAGAGACCTGGTAAGAGGATGCAGGGACAACATCTATAGGTCTGGGATGAAGGGCTATGTCCCACTGAAATGTGGAGCTACCCAGACTGGGAATACGTTAATAAATAACAAGTCACAAACCATCTCCCTTCCACTGTCAAATTCTTTCTTCTTCCACCCACTAGGCGATGTCCTAGTAGGACTCAGATCTGGGCTCTAATCCCAGCCTTGTTTCTGACTTGTACCCTCTGAGTCTGAGTTTACATTTTTCCCAAATGAAGCTTATGGCCTCTCCCTAACCTCTCTGTGCGTCAGGTTCCTCTTGGTAAAGTGAGGGAAATGGACAAGCACAGTTTTTCTCAAACTATTATCCAAGGATCTACCACAATCACATTGGAGTGATGCTAAACCATCCTCAGAGTCTCTGGAGGTCAGAGCTCAGCATATTCATTTTAACATATCCCCCTTGGGATTTGAAGGCATATTTCAAATGTGAAAAAAGAGTGGGGTCTTTTATCACTAAGGGCTCTTCCAGCACACAAGTCTGTGGTACTAATTAGGGACTAGGTACTCTTCCTATTGAGGAATAGTTTTAAGAGGATTAGTAACCTCAAAACATTCTTATTTTCATCAAATGGGTGACAGTCTCTTCATATCATCCCTGATGTTAACATTTCCTATGCATCAAGTCACATTAGAGCACATTGTTGGTGAGACAACACCACAGATTTCTCTTCTAATTAGGATCTCAGGAATGAAGCTAAAAGACCAAACTTACTCATCCTGATAAAGGATCACATCTTGACTTTTGAGCTCACTTCTGGACACTAGTGAAGCTTAATTAACATCTGTAAAGCCCTTGTACAGCAGCACATAGAAACCCAGAAGACTGAGATTATAGGATACTCCTTATATTGATTATCCACCACCAGTTTTCCTTTCCTTTTTGTTTGCCTGTCTCCACTCCAGGCTGCCAGAAACTGTCTAGTGGGAGAGAACCAAGTCATCAAGGTGTCTGACTTTGGGATGACAAGGTAATATGGGCATGTGGCGCCAGGAAAGTCTCAGAAGTGGGATTCAGGCCCCCAGAACGTTCAGACATTCTTTCTCCACTCTCTACCCAGGTTCGTCCTTGATGATCAATACACCAGTTCCACAGGCACCAAGTTCCCGGTGAAGTGGGCATCCCCGGAAGTCTTCTCCTTCAGCCGCTATAGCAGCAAGTCAGATGTGTGGTCATTTGGTGAGTATCATCCTGGCCCCACCCCCACATGATCAAGGACTGCCAAGCAGCTGTTTTATTTGTCAAATCCAGGCAACTCTACTTGCCCAGGACTGGGTGGTGAGGGCACCCCACTGATAGACTGTGTGTGATAATGGCTCTGAAAACTATGAAGAGGTCCTCATTTTTGCATTTGTTCTTTGGGATCTTTGAAAGCATATTTTGTTCAACAGTATTTTCCCGCACGTACCCCTCAATAAATATTTTACTCATTTATTCAGCAACAATTTATCGAGCCTCTACTATAAGCCAGGGTTAATCTAGGTGCTTACAATGCAGGGGTGCATAGGATAGAAAAGACTCCTATTCTCTTGGAGGCAAATTTTAGGGGGAGACAGATAACAATCACATAAACAAGTTAATAGATATGTACATAAGACAAAGTCACGTAGTGATAAGTAAGTGCTATGAATAAAACAAAACAGTTAATGGAATAGAAAGTGACTGGGATGGAGAGTCCATTTTAAATAGCATGGTCTGGGAGGCCTCTCCAAGGAGGTGACCCTTGATCTGAATGTTGAGAGAGAGTCATCCCCACTTGAGGATCCAGGGAAGATTTGGTGTCTCTGACCAAAAAACCAGCAAGTATAAAAATTTGGTGCATCCAGAGAAAAGAGGGGCACTGTCTTGGTGAGAGAACATTAGACAATGAAGTTGGCAGTCCATGATAAGGAATTAGACTTTCTGATGAGCGCAAATGGGCATAAATGAAAGGCAGAATGAATGATGTTGGTGTGGCAGAAAGTACTAGCCATTCTTGCTGGATTTGTCATATCCTCCTAAGCCATAGTTTGTGTGTGCTAAACTATACACAAAGACATGCCAAACAACCTCTGATTTGGACTATAAGAAGGGTTATACTTTGGAAAGGAATGAGTTGGAGTTTGATTTTGCCAGGTGTATTGACTTAAGAGTAGAAATCAGGGAAAAGCTAATTAGATCTCTTCAGAGAACTAGTTTTGAAGTTTCCCCCAGTATTTTAGAAGAGCCAATTTCTATAACCGAGTGGTTTGCAAATTTCTAGTTCTTCTAAGCTGTTCCTTAAAACAGCTTCCCTATTTGACAGACCCAGCTAAGATTTTGTTATTCAAATTTAAGTTACAGAATGAACTTGGAAGAAATAAAACTGCACCAGAACAATCTCAGAAGATTCTATTTTCCCCCAAGTCCATATATAATGAGGAAAGGTATGGCTGACATGTGGCCACTCCCTATGGGTGATGCAGCCAGTCACACTGCACCAAGCCCGGTGTCCCATATGGAGATGTTTGCACCCATGGCCACTTTGTCACATTCACCTGCCAACTCTGCATGAGGCTTATTCTGCCAAAGGTTGTCAGCTTGGGAATTTTCTGTTGCATCATAAAATTAGAGTGTTGAGCTCCAGTCCATCCCTGCCTAGGATATACCCCCTGAAGGGTCCGAAAATGAGACTGACTAATGGAAGAAGGGTAGAGAGGGCGAGATAACATGAGTGGCAAGCCTGAGAAACAGAAACCTGGATGGACTGAGAGCTTGATGCCTGCCTCGAGGCCATTGAACTTTGTCATGCATTTTAAGGTTTTTGCCCTAATTAACTGTGCTATTTTAAGCAAGTCAAGCAATCTTTTTTGGGCCTCACTCAGTTTCCAATCAATGCATTACAAGGTTTGCATGAAAGCAAATGTTTTCATAATCGAGCTTTGGGCAGCAGGCCTCAGTTTTCCAAGGAAACGAAATCTCAATTTCTAAAGAAATTCTGGCAACTTGCGGAGCTAAATAGTCTTATTTACAGGCAGTTTCCAAATTTCTAAAACTGCAGAGGCACCTGTGAGGATCCCTTAGAAATCCTGATCCAGAGGTCTGGGCCATGGCCCAGGATCTGCCATTTGAACAAAATTCTGAGGTGATTTTTATTCAGTTGTTTTGGGAATCATACTTTGGAAAACCCTGCCCTAAGAATCCTTGAAATATGCTTTGAAAACCACTGAAATAGGTGATCTGCAAGCTCTCTTCCCACTCTTGACATCCTATGAATATATTAGTACATAATAAAATTGGGTGTGACATTTCTGCTAAAGACAGAAGAGGAAAGGGGATTAAATCACAGGTCAAAAATAGACAACCCGGAGATGTGTTTTTGCTCTGTCTACACAGTATTTTTAAAAATCAAGTTGAGTTTCTATTTCTAAACTCTCAATTTATGACTTCTTTTTAAAAAAATCAGAGAATGTGGCAATCCCAAACCCTCATCCCCATGCGCCCTATGGTGGCTGGAGCTAAATCACAGCTATTCTCTGAAGACAGAACTCGACCCCCAGTTCTCCACAGTCCCCCTAGTCTCCATTATGGCACATCTCATCCACTCTATCCATTTACATGATGTGTAGACATTTTGAGTTTACATCCCCTGCAACTTTTAGTAGTAACATTTGAGTTAGATACAAAAAAGGGCTGAGCTTGGGCGCCTGGGTGGCTCAGTCGTTAAGCGTCTGCCTTCGGCTCAGGTCATGATCTCAGGGTCCTGGGATCGAGTCCCACATCGGGCTCCTTGCTCTGCAGGAAGCCTGCTTCTCCCTCTCCCACTTCCCCTGCTTGTGTTCCTGCTCTCGCTGTCTCTCTGTCAAATAAATAAATAAAATCTTTTAAAAAAAAAAAAAAAAAGGGCTGAGCTTGAAAGTTCCTCACCACTAGGAAGATTGGGAAATCTCTGTTCTTTAGAAATAGTACAGGCCTAAGAAGCCTCAGGTGGTTTGGTATTGTCCTCCCTGAAGGTAGGGACTTGAATCTGAATGTCAAGGAATCTGCAATTTCTTGATGTAGGCTTATTTGTTTGTTTGTTATTCATCATTCGCTGTGCTGCACTCACCATTTCTTGTAGGTGTGCTGATGTGGGAAGTCTTCAGTGAAGGCAAAATCCCGTATGAAAACCGAAGCAACTCAGAAGTGGTAGAAGACATCACTACTGGATTTCGCTTATACAAGCCCCGGCTGGCCTCTGTGAATATCTACCAGATCATGAGTCATTGCTGGAAAGAGGTCAGTAAAGGAAGTGGTTTCCCCCTACATTGTAATCTATAACTTTAGGGTCTGTTCCCTTCCCTGGAGAAAGAAACCCTCTTAGAGGATGAGGAAGCAGGGGTGACGAAAGTAGATTAGCAAGCAAGTGGCTTTGAGCGTCTACTAATGAAAGAGTTTGCCCATCCCTAAAAGAGCTGGCAGCGACCTTAAATATTATTTGATCTGCAGTAGAATGTCACAAGCCATCAACACACTGTTAGAGAGGAAGAGAGGGTGAGATAGCATTATAGCATTATACAGAATAGTTTCACTGCCCTAAAATCCACTGTTTCACCTATTTACAATTCCCTCCTTCTCCCCAAAACCCTGGCAACTATTGATCTTCTTATTGTTCAAGTTTTACCTTTCCCAGAGTGTTATATGTTGGAATCATATGATACATAGCCTTTTCAGATTGGCTTCTTTCACTTAGAACTATGCATTTAGTTATGCATTTAAGATTCTTCCATGTCCTGGGCACCTGGGTGGCTCAGTTGGTTAAGCGACTGCCTTTGGCTCAGGTCAGGATCCTGGAGTCCTGGGATCGAGGGGAGCCTGCTTCTCCCTCTGACCCCCTCCCCTCTCATGCTGTTTCTCTCTCTCTCTCTCTCTCTCTCTAATAAATAAATAAATAAAATCTTAAAAAAAAAAAAAAGATTCTTCCATGTCCTTTCATGGCTTGATAGCTCATTTCTTTTTATCACTGAATAGTATTCCATTGTATGGATGTACCACAGTTTGGCTATTCATTCACCTACAGAGAGAGGGACATCTTGATCTCTTGCAGTTTGGGGCAATTATGAACAAAGCTACTATAAATATCCATGTGTAGGTTTTTGTATGAACATAAATTTTCAGCTCAACTGGGAGTAGTATGATTGCTGGATCATATGATAACAATACATTGGCTTTGTAAGAAACTGTCAGACTCTCTTCTAAAAGTGGCTGTACCATTTTGCATTCCCACCAGCAATGAGAATTCCTGTTGTTCCACATCCTCACGAGCATTTAATGTTTTAACCATTCTAATAGGTGTATATTGGTAACTCATTGTTTTCATTTGCAGTTCCCTAATGACATATGATGTGGAGCATCTTTTCAAATGTTTATTTGCCATTTGTGTATCTTCTTTAATGAGGTGTCTGTTGAGATCTTTTGCCCATTTTTTAATTGGATTATTTGTTTTCTTGCTTTTGAGTTTGAAAAGGTCTTTGCATATTTTGGATATAAGTCCTTTATCAGATATGTGTTTTGAAAATATTTTCTCCCAGCCTATGGTTTGTCTTTTCTTTCCCTTAACAGTGTCTTTTACAGAGCAGACATTTTAAATTTTAACAAAGCTCAACATCAATTTTTTTCTTTTATTAATCAGGCTTTTGGTGTTGTACCTAAAAACCTATTACTGAACCCAGTAATTTTCTCCTATATTATCTTCTAGACGTTTTCTAAGTTTTGCATTTTACATTTGGGTCTCTGATCCATTTTGAGTTAGTTTTTGTGAGGGGTATAAGGTCTGTGTCTAGAGTCATTATACTGCATGTGACATCCAGTTGTTCCAGCACTGTTGTTGAAAAGACTACCCATTCTCCACTGAATGACTTTCGCTCCTTTTGCAAAGGTCAGTTGACTGTATTTGTGAGAATCTATTTCTGGGCACTCAACTCTGTTCCATTGATCTCTTTGTTAATCCCTTCACCAATACCATACTGCCTTTGTTACTCTAGCTTCACAGTGAGTCTTGAAGTTGGGCAGTGTCAGTCCTCCAACTTTGCTCTTCTTCAGCATTGTGTTGGCTATTCTGAGTCTTCTGCCTTTCCATGTAAAAACTTCAAAGTCAGTTTGTCAATATCTACAAAATAACTTTCTGGGATTCTGATTGTGATTGTTTTGAATCTGTAGATCCAGTTGAGGAGAAATGACATCTTAATAATAATATAAAGTCTTCCCATCCTTAAACATGAAATGTCCCCATTTATTTAGATCATCTCTGATTTCTTTCTTTTAAAATTCTATATTTTTCCTAATGTAGGTCCTATACATATTTTGTGAGATTTATACCTAAGTATTTTCTTTTTTGATGTTATTTAGCACTTATTTTATGATGTATTTTTTAAAAAAATTTTATGTATTTATTTGTCCGAGAGAGAAAGTGAGCACAAACAGAGGGAGTGGCAGGCAGAGGGAGAAACAGGCTTCCCGCTGAGCAGGAAGCACGATGTTGCACTTGATCCAGGACCCCAGGATCATGACCTGAGCCGAAGGCAGACGCTTAACCGACTGAGCCACCCAGGCACCCCTTTATGATGTATTTTTAATACATGATTTTATTTAATTCTCACAACCATCTTATGAGGTAGATACTCTTATTATCCCCATTTTACAGACAACAAAACTGACGTTCAAACAAGTTAAGTAACCTGCTCAAAGTCACACAGTTAATGAGTGGAAAAGCTTAGATTCAAAAGCCGGCCATATGATCCCAGAATCCCTGCTATTAACAATTAAGACACAGTGGCCTCGAACAATACATGTGGAAGCATATTTAAAAATCAGCAGAGGGCTATTGAATTCTGGGTGGCTTTGGGATTAACTATGACACATAAGTACAAGGAACTCACAGAGTCCTTTTCTTCCCTCTCTAGAAACCAGAAGACCGGCCACCTTTCTGCAGACTCTTGAGTCAACTGGCTGAACTTGCAGAATCAGGACTTTAGCAGAGACTCAGCACCAGGCCACGGGCTGCGGATCCTCAAAGGGGGAAGCAAATTCTCTCTTCATAGAGCATTAAAAGCTGCCACCAGCCCAGAATTCCCTGGAGGCAGACCCTGAGAGAGGCGGGCGTCTCAGCCCCTGACCTGGGAGAGAGGCCCGAGCAGCAGCCTCTTATCTTGTGCGGTTCGCAAACCTCAACGTGACAGCTTTCAGGCACCATTTCTTGCACTTCTTAGAGAAAAGAAGAGACATGGTAGGGCTGTGGATTATTATTTTTATCATTGTTTCAAACATGGATCTAAAGTGTATGGTCGAGGGATTTTCACTTGGCCCGGTAATACAGAATCCTAGGATGTGGGGCAAGAGGAATGAGGAGTGGGGCTCTTTTTCAAGAACTGGTGAGTTAATTAAGGTCAGAAAGAGGAAGCTCAGCCGCTGGGATTCTGTTAGCCACAGCTTCCTGCCGTAGAGGATGATGGGACAGGCGCTCATAGTTGAGTCCAGATAGGCTGAGAAGCCCCTTTAGGAGGTTTTATTCATCGAGCACACTGCCACCTCCCTCCTTGAAGGGAGGTGATGGACTGGGGTGAACAATTCCGATCCCATGGTTGGATCTAGCGTCTGGACAGAAAGAGGGCATCAGATGGTGGGGAGCCAACTCGTACAGAGAAAGGCCTTAGGTTGTTACCACTCCAAGGCCCACCTTCAGTACCAAGCCGGGCTGGTGACTGTGCCTCCCCTTCTGCACAGATTGCTTCTGCGGGCATCCGGGGAGAAGATGATTGCTTCTGGACACCGACTCTGACTGAGGCTCCACCCTCAGTTTTTCTGGCCTCTGGGATTAGTCCCCTCTCTGCACTCTTCCACCCTCACCAGCAGAGGGCAGCATTGCGTTGGGCAGTGTGGCCTTGCAGAGACCTGGAAGCTGGTTTAGGCCCTAGAGATTTGCAACGTGAAGGCTGAGGCTTCAAGTCTCCTGAAAGTCTAGGAGAGGAACGAGGGGTCTGTTCTCACTCAAACCATCTGGATGGAAAGTGAGTCAAGCACTGAATGGGGTGCTTCCAAGATGCACAAGGCAGCCTACTGTTGATGGAGCGCTGAAATATGCAAAGTGAATATGTACTGAACTACAGGCCTTACGTGCAGAGTTTCGTTTCATCCTGAGTTCACACCACCCCCGTGAGAATGTATTCTTATTCCCATTTTACAGATGATGGAACTGAGGCTTTAAAAAGCCAAGACAGCTTGCCAAAGTGACAGAGCTAGGAAATGTAAAGCCCACGTCTGTCTGCTGCCAATGCCGTTTCTTTATTTCTATTCAACACTTCCTTCTACTGAGGATGAAAGGGGTTGCAGAGGAGATAAATACAGCTGGGGGAAAGACATAGAAAGCCAATAAAGAAGTCAACCACCAAGTGATGTTTCTTCCGCATAGGCCACTATCGTTGGCCATGTAGCCCTCCAACTTGGAATAGGATCTTCTTTTTCTCATCTGTCTTCCACCTTTGTTAGAGTTAATGACTTTGGAGTTACTCGGTTAATTAACCCTCTGATTCACCCACCCCTCCAGAGTCATGTTACATGAAGCCATTTATAGGTGAGCTTCAAAGCAGTTTTGAAAGATCCGCCTGCAGGTGTATAAATGCTTCCTTTAATTATCATTTCGACTTTGAGCCAGCTGCAGTATTCTTGGGCACTTTGTGGAGAAGGGTAATCCCTGATGTAAAAGAGATTTCATTTTCCTACAGTGTTCACATAAAACTTTTAGAGAGATTATTAGATGGTGTTACAATTAACTCTTTCTAAATCGTGTGATATTTTGACCAGCTGGAGATTCAGATGCATAACTTGTAACTATAATTATTGTGAAACTGGTTGCCTTAAGATAAAACTCTATCATTCAGAAGATGATCTTACTCAACATATCCAAAATCATCCCTGTTTACTCTCTGGTATTTTGTACATTCTCTTGTGGAACCCTTAATTAGAGATGATTTCTGGAGCATCCAGCCTGAAGGAAAACATCAAAATTGGCTGATTTCTGTGGTCTGGTTTCAAAAACTGCCCCTTGCATGGTGTTATTGTGTTCAAGCTCAGATTCCCTGGGGCCTTCACTGAACATGTTAACTCCCCAGTGTCCTATCCTGCAAAATGGGCTTCCTGCCTGTTTTTTTCTACCCCTCTCACATTTTGAAAATGGTACCATGTGTTCACAGGGAATTCCCTTATGCAAAGTTTTGGTTCTAGGTGCATTTTATAGATTTTGCATTTTGTACCTTTTGAGAACTATTTATACTTGGATGTATTGAATATTTATTCATTTACAGTAATTGCTAGTATTCATAATAAAAATGTTACAAATATCTCTAACCATTTATAAAGCGCACTTAGTTAAAGGACAGATCTAGCAAATAAAGCTGTACATTTTAATAAATACAGTATATATGACCTGGGTTCCATATTTGCCCAAATGTCAAACAACCAAAAATTTTCCTTAAATAAAAATGATTACACGGCTTCATGTTCCGCAAACAAGTAAAGACTATATATCATTCAACATTTGTTCAACAAGTAAATGTCAAATGCTTCCTGTGTTCCTATGATACACTCTGATGAGAGCTATGGAAACAAAGATGAAAAAAGCAGTCTTTACTTTTTAGAAACTCTAGGTAAGTCATAAAAAAAAAAGCAGACATATAAACAAGTAAAATTATAATCTGGCAATTAGAGCAAGAACAGAAATGTAGTCAAAGAGGAGAAGAGCTCAGAAAAAGTGATGGAATCTCTCAGGGGAAGGGGGATATCAGGAAAATCTTTCTAAAACCTTGCTACTCAAAGTGTGGTCCCTGGACCGTCAACAGCAATATGACCAGCTTATGAGAAATCTGAATTCTCTGACTTCACCCTGAGATTCACTGAATGGGAATCTGCATTTTCGCAACATCCACAGGTGATCATCAGCACATTAAAGTTTGAGAAGTACCGTCATAGAGGATATAATGTCCAACTGTGTTTTGAAGATGAATTATGGGTTTGTTTGGTTTTTTAGGAAGTAAGTGGGCAGAAATAAGAGAAATACTTTCCAGGTAGAGAGAGAGAGGAAATAGAATGTATGGGGAAGCTATTATCAGTTTATCCTCGCTGGAGTGTAAGTTGTGGGGTGGGCGTGAGGTGTTGGCAAGGGTAAGGATAATAGAAGGGGTTAGGCAAATTGAAAACAGAAGTTGTAAACCTAGATAAGGAACATTTTTTTTTTTTTAAGATTTTGTTTATTTATTTGACAGAGAGAGACACAGCGAGAGAGGGAACACAAGCAGGGGAGTGGGAGAGGGAGAAGCAGGCTTCCCGCTGAGCAGGGAGCCCCGATGCTGGGCTCGATCCCAGGATGCTGGGATCGTGACCTGAGCCGAAGGCAGACGCTTAACGACTGAGCCATCCAGGCACCCCAAGGAGCATATTTTAAAAGACAAGAAATGTGGGAACTCTACCTATAGATAGAAAAGATGTTATCGAGCAAGGAGAGAAGGTTAAATCTGTGTTTAAAAATACATCCTGGGGCGCCTGGGTGGCTCAGTTGGTTAAGCGTCTGCCTTCAGCTCAGGTATGATCCCAGGGTCCTGGGATTGAGCCCCGCATCGGGCTCCCTGCTCCGCGGGAGTCCTGCTTCTCCCTCTCCCACTCCCCCTGCTTGTGTTCCCTCTCTCGCTGTTTCTCTCTCTGTCAAATAAATAAGTAAAATCTTAAAAAAAAAAAAAATGCATCGTGCAGCAGCATAGTGAGTAGATTTGAGAGAGGAACGCTGATGGAAAAGAAGCCAATGTGAAGATGATTTTTTGCCTTGTTCCGAGTACCAGATTATTGTTCATACTCATTCACTGTCATCTGCTGTGTGGGTGCCATGTAGAAATTGTAATTCGGAGTTCTTGAGTCACAGTTGGACAGCGATGAATAGCTGTCCCCCTTCCTCTTAAAATCCCAGTGGAATAAAGATGGGCTTGTATTTGGGGTGTGCTGAGCTCTCCCAGTACCTTTTAGTTCACCACAGGCCCACGTCCATGGCAGGATCCAGTTCATGCACCAGAGGACCGTTAGGCACAAGTGAGAACGCCCGTGGCTTCTGCACAGTCCTTTGAGGGACTCGCCTTTGGGCTTGACTCCCACTGGGAAATGACCCGGATATGAAACTCCTAAAGCAGTTGGATGAGCAGCTCTGCTCCTCAGAGTATTTATCTTGCAGACCCTACCTACTCGCCCTGGAATCTTCCAACATACAAGTCCACCACCTTGAGGAAGAGACGGAACATAATCCATTCAGCAAGATTTGGGCAGTGTGTATTTGTGTGTGTGTGTGTCTTCAATGACTTTGAGACTCTCTCCAAGTTGGCTTGTGGGATCACAGAATCACACAGTAACTGTTAGAAGGAGTTTTAGAGATCATTTCTTTACTTCATAAATAGTAGTTACCGATTCGCCTGACATTGCCTGGCATTGTGTCGGGTGTATAAGATGAATAAGATATCTTATCAGTTAGAGACCAAACTCTTCAAAATTAAGACAATTCAAGGAGGATTTATTTATGAAAGGGAAAGGATTATTTAAAAGAGTGTGGGTCAGGTTTAGGAGAGCCACAGAAAGTAGTACGGAGGAAAATAACAGCCAAGGAGCAGTTACCTCCTGGGGGCCTGAAGAGACAGGAGTCTCTTCTCCTGTCTCTGTCTCTTCTCCTCACTCTGTCTCAAAGGAAACAGAGTGCTCATTTGAATGTGAAAGCAGTCACTCAGAGAAGGTTGCCTTGAAAGGAGAGGACCTTTAGTAAGGAAGCCCAAGGCAACATCACAAAGAGGAAGCCAATGACCCCACTCTCTTCCCTTACCCCATCAACTGCTGGGGCCTCTTGTTGGCCAAACCAACTGGAAGCCGGAGGATGAGGAAACTGTAGCAGGGCAGTCCACAAAGGTAAGTCCCCAGGGGAGAGAGCAGGGCGCAAAGAGTGGAGTGGGTTTGGAGAAAGCAAAGATATCTAGTATGGACACCAGCCTTCCCATAAGAAGCCCTCATGCTGCTAAAAAAAGTCCAACACATAAACAAATACAGTTAATGCTCATTATTTACAGCTTCTATACATGCAGATTTGCCTACTAGTTGAAATTTATTGGTAACTCCCAAATCAGTCCTTTCCCAGTCATCGATGGCATGCCCAGGCGGGTGCAGTGACAACTGTGAGTTGCCCTACCCACACATCGCCAGCTGAGGTGGAACAAGGTGGTGCTCTGCCTTCTCATTTCAGCTCTCATTCTGTAAACAAGTATCCTTTTCGAGGTCTATTTAGTGCCATGTTTTGCACTTGGGTACTTTCTGTTGGTCATTTTGCTATTTAAAATGGTCCTTAAGCACAGAGCTGAAGTGCCGTGTAGTGTTCCTAAGAGCAAGAAGGCTGTGACATCTCTTTCAAAGAAAATGTGTGTTAGATAAGTTTTGTTCAGGCATGAGTTATAATGCTGTTAACTGTGAATTTAATGTTAATGAATCCATAGGTATATTAAATAAAGTGTTTTTTTAACATAAATGTGGGTAAAACAAGGTTATATATAGATCAGTTGATGAAAATGTTGTGACCAGAGGCTCACAGGAACCTAACCCTATACTTCCCCTAGGAGCAATGGTTCAGTATTCACTCATTCAGTGTCCATGGCAACTTTATAAAACATAAATACCAAATAATGAGAATCACCTGTGATTGCAAAGGGTTACGGGATGGAGCAGTTGTCACAATATATGAGTGCATAGAGTGAAAATACCTAAGGGATCAAGGAGGGCTTCACAGAGGAAGTGATGTTTGAGCTGTCCTGAAGGGTAAATAGGATCTCCCAAGGAAGAGTGAGTGGGTCTAGAAGGACATTTCAGGCAGAGAAATCAGAATGAAACAACAACAACAAATACATCTTATTCCACCTTCTTCCCTTGCGTTATTTTTCAACTAGGACTGGGAACCTTGAGGACAAAGGCCATAGGTGCTAGCTAGCATGGCCACGGGACAATCAGTTGAAGGAGCTGAGGGGACTCTGATTCCTCAGCATCCAGATTCACCTCTACCCCCCACCCCCCTACACACCTGTCTATAGCTATGAAGGAGTTTCTGGTCCCTTCCCATTTTCTTGGACTGATTTTGAGTACAAGTGCCTATAAGGTGAGATAAACTATAGAAACATTCATTTGCTTTTCTTTTTTGTACATATCAAAGCACTTTCCCATTTAAGAGGATGTTTGATCTCTCAGCACCTTTGGGATGAGAGTGGGAGTGCATGGGTCTCACTAGACAGACAAGGGAAGTGATAGAGAGCATGCCTGAAGTTGTAGAGCTACTTAACAAAGGTGACATTAGAACTCAGATCTCTTTCCAGGTCCTGCATCCTTCCTAGAGATCACACCAAAATTCCAACCATGTTAATAATAATAATGACAATAAAACTTCCGTTTTTGAGCACTTATGATGACTCTGCTTAGCGTGTTATGTTTATTATTTCATTTAATTTTCTAAGAACCCGAGGGATAGGTACGATTATGATCATTTCAATTTTACAGATGAGAACAGGGCTCAGTAAATTAGGGAAACAGTTCATGGTCCCACAATTGGTGAGTGACAGAATGGGGGCTTGAAGCCAGACCTGTCTGTCCCCAAATTCCACGCTCCCCAACCATTCTGTGGGGCTGACTACGGGGCCACGTTTGCTGGCCTCTGACAGTACAGTAGTTCGGGGTCCATTGTGCCTCAGCTACATTGCTGCATTCCAAATCCTGTTCAGAATATGCTCTACCCTCCTTAACAGTTCTCATCTAAAATTATCGTGTATAGAATTTGTTTAAATAAAGATGAAATGTTCTTTGCTGTGAAGTTATGTGTAAAAGATCTGACCTTCAAGGGAGACCAGTTCCGTAGAAGTTGTGAGAAATGAGCAAAGTGAGAGAAAGACAGCATGAAGGGGGGACATACATTTCCAAATGGCCCAGGAGGGAGCCGCAATTTTCAGCAGCACACCCGTTATCAATATTTCATTTATAAAATAACAGGGCTACTTCTTAGGATTTCATGAGGATGAAATGAGCTGATCCATGTACAGTACTTAGCATAGAGGCTGACCTCAAGTAAACATTTAATAAATGTTAGTTTAAAATATGTGCTTTAACAAATTATCCCAGATTCAAAGAAGGAAATAAGCAATCCAGTTTCCTATGGAAAGACCTGCGTCTGGGTCCAGCCAGCCTTGAGCAATCCTTCCCGTTTCTGGGCCCCAGTTCTTTCATCTGTAAAATGAGGCAATTTTGAGCAAGAGCTCAGGTTTTATTTAATGGACAACATAAATTGCATAACTGCCCATCAAGTTTCTCTTTTCCTGCTAACTACATGCACCAAGAGTGTGAGCCTACCGTATGTAGCAAGTCCATTGCACTGAGAAACTTCTTTTGTATTATTTACAGTTTCTCTCCATCTCACATCCTTTCCCTTCTTTCTTTTTAAAAATTTATCATTGAGGGGT